GGCACTGGACGCCGCCGTAGAACAACAGACCGTGAAGATCGCCGCCTAAGATTATTGGCCTTAAGGGACCGTTTCTCCACTACCAGGTCCATTGCAAATGAATGGTTTTTGCAGAACACGGAAGACCTATTGGTATGCGAAGTGTTTACCGACGAATGAGAAGTTTTGGCTTGTTTTCATACCGGCCACACTGGGTCCTCCGTTTAACTCGAGAACACCGACGTAATCGCCTTGAGTGGTGCAGACAACGGTCACTCTGGGATCAGGAATGGAACAGTATTGTCTTTAGTGACGAGTCTAGATTTTGTTTAGGCATGCACGATGGTCGTACCAGGGTTAGAAGGCGACGTGGTGAAAGGAGGAATCCACAGTTTTTTGTTGAAAGACATGTTCATCACACTGTTGGAGTTATGGTTTGGTGTGCTATAGCTTATGATTCCAGGTCACCTTTAATCTTCATCAGAGGTAACATGAACGCGCAGCGTTATATCTACGAAGTTCTAGAACCCCATCTTTTACCCTATCTTGACACCCTGGCAGATCCAACTTTCCAACAAGATAATGCCCGACCACATGTTGCAAGAGTCACAATAGACTTCTTTCAACATAATGATGTCACATTGTTACCATGGCCACCAAGATCTCCCGACTTATCCCCAATTGAGCACGTGTGGGATATGATGGGTAGGAGATTGCTCAATTTGCAACGTCCTCCTCAGACTCTAGAAGCACTTCGAGAGGAGTTGGTGGTTGCCTGGAATGAGATACCACAGGAGGACATTGACCACCTGATCAGAAGCATGCCTAGGCGCTTTGGAGAATGCGTAGCACATCAGGGTGCATTCACACATTATTAAAGGTCAAAGGGCTTTAAAGCAGTGCAATCATTTTGAAATTTTTATCATTTACTTATTATGCTTCATTAAGTACTTATACAAAATTTTATTAAAATAAAACCATTTAAACTGGGTGTTCGGATTTATATTTCACTTAGAATATGTTCGTCTAACTAGCGAACCTTGAGAACTATTCGTAATTGCAGAATTTGTGTGGCCAGCTTGTCTTCCTTTTGGACCTGTGCTTGAAAAGGATTACGTGGGTTCGCACGTCCAAATCGCTGGATGGGGGTATACCGACAGTGTCCAGTTGCTAACCTCAGATAATCTGATGTACATCAACGCACCTGTGCTTGATACAGAAGCTTGCAATAAAATATTCAAGAGACCTTTAAATCCTGCCACCCAGTATTGCGTTGGATTTCCGAAAGGTGAGTATGTGAACTTGGAAGTTTTTCAGTTGTCAACAGAAATCTGAAATACCTCTTGAGTTAGGTATTATACAGGGTGACTTTAAAGTTGAGTAATTAATTTTCAGATAATGATTGTAGAAGGAAGATAAACCAAAATATGTGTGTAAAAATAAAAAAAAAAATAAAAAAAAAAGTTTTACCTTGTTGTATAAAGTATCCTCCCGACAAGTATTTCAGTGCGGACCTGTATATCGTGAGGTCTTGGAGCACCGGCATGCCGTCCATATGTGAGGTCTTAAGTCAAATGATTCACGAACCCGTTGTACTACATTAACAAAGGCACGAGGGGTTGGTTGCACTCGATTGGGAAACCGATCCGCATAAACATGTGCCATTTTTTATTTCGTTTGAGCCACGCAACAGACACCACTATCCACTACTGACTGACACTGACTGTATACAACTGAATGAAATAATTGTAAAAACATCGTTCCAAATTCTTTCGCTTTTTTGTTTCCGATGCGATGAACCGATAAGGCGAATTATATCCGTTGTCGCCAAACACGAGCACATAATATTATTATTGAGACAGGGCGGTACTCAAACTTCCAAAGGGCTATAACTTTGTTACTTTAATTTTACCAGAAAAATGGTAAAGGAACAAAACATTTCTTTTGATCAGATCTACTCACTGTTAAAATAAATGACTCAACTTCGAAGTCACCCTGTATACAAAGTCATGGTACTTCCGTTTACAATATCGAAAAATACAATTCCTATGCAATTTTTACGATTTTTCAGGACAACAGGGTTGTTTGGTTCGCTGATATCAAATATGAAATTAGTTTTCCTCTATGACGAATTTGAAGGTCACTTCAAGGTCGTATAAAGGACATTTTCAAAATAAGCCGAGCAGTTGAGACAAACGCATGTTTAAGTTACTAAGTGCGAATCAGAGGTCAGTTGGTCAGTATGAGGGCATTTGAAGGTGACTTTAAGGTCATTCCAAGGACGAATCCACAATAAGTGTAGCACTTGAGTCCAGAAGTGTGTCATATAGGTTTTCGCGATCGTTAAGTCTAAGTCAGAGGTCAATTTGTCTCTAAGAAGGCATTTAAAGGATATTTTAAACTGATACTAGATTGAATCGGACAGAAATTCAAGGTTCACAAACATCATTTATTAGATCTAGGGCAAAGGAATAATACTAATATAAACAAGTGAATTTGTAGAAACTTCAATAAGATCATGGTTCTAAAGTGTTAATTTTTATGGTATTCAAGATCAAAGTTAGAATACTGTTCTATAATTTGGAATACATATTATAAAAATCATTTTAAAAGGTTTGAGATTGAAATATATCGTGTCTACCCTGATCAAGATATTGAACATTTCGCCGCCGCTATCTTAGCACCTTCAAATGTCACTTTGATATTAAAATATACGAGGGGTAATGGAAAAAGATTTACCTGCTATGAAACCAAATACGGACTATTTTTTTGCTTAAAAGAATTGAGTTGGAGGGACCTTTTCAAAAAGCACTGTTTGTTGGGCAACCTGTACAAGGATCCTTACCGAGCAATCGATGTATTGTTAAATTGAATATATTATTTCAGAAGAAAAAAAGGATTCCTGTGCTGGAGACTCAGGCGGACCAATGACAAAGAGTGAAAATATAGACGGAGAAAGGAGGCATTTTCTACTGGGACTTGTTTCTTATGGCGTCAGGAGGTGTGGGGACGGGCCAGCCGTTTACACCAGAATCATCGCATTTTTGCCTGAATTATTAGACGAAATTGTCGTAGGATGAAGAAACGTCACCAAGAACTTCACAGTTTATCGCCAAGAAGAATTACAACTTCATACTTCTCACTTTTTTGCGATATATAAAAATACATCATAAAAAATCAGTACAATACAATCTGTGTTTTTCTTAATCACATGACATGACTTACGTGATAGTGATAAGTTGTGAGATTGTTGTCTAATTGACAACCATCGTTGAAAAACCATGAATAAAATTTTGACTTAGCCACCCATCCTGTGCCCCATATTTCGCACGGAATTGGGCTTAAGCACAATATAAAAAGCATTAAATTACTTTAAAAGGTTCGTTACAAATGATTGTTAACCGAAACTGGAAAAAGACCTTGAAATGACCTCGGAGGTGAAGTTCAAGGTCAAATCCAAGTTTACTCGTCAAAATTCACTAAATAACTGACCTTGATAGATATTTTCATCACTAATCCTGTAAGATTCATAGTCGTTTTCCTAGCAGAACACATTTGACCTTTAGAGGTCACCGTGAATTTGATCCTCAATTCGTATTTTGAACGTAAAATTATTAGTAATATTTAAAATAGGGATTTTCATTAAAAAATAAGTTGACATTGAAATAACCTTGAAGGCCAAAGTTAAATACAAGGTCAGCGTTCACTTCCTCGTTAAAATTTACCAAAGACCTGACCTTGATAGCTATTTCCACCAGTCATCCTGTGGAATTTATAAGGTTTTTCTAGCAGTACACATTTGATCTTCATTTGACCTTTAGTAGACAGCCTGGACTTTGCGTTTGGATGTAACATCTTTCGAATGTCAACATCAATAATAGGAGTTTCTATTTGAAAAACTAAAGTTTATCATGATCTAATCTTGAAGGTGAAGGTTAAGGTCAAATTCAGGACTTTTGTGTCACGTTGCATGGTTGGACACGCCCCATATAACAAAGTGCAATCGATTTTTCACCTGCGAGATTTTCTTACGTTGGACGAATTTCATATGTCACTGATTCGAAAACAGACCCTCCTTATATACAGGGTGACTTCGAAGTTGAGTCATTTATTTTAACAGTGAGTAGATCTGATCAAAAGAAATGTTTTTTCCTTTCCATTTTTCTGGTAAAATTAAAGTAACAAAGTTATAGCCCTTTGGAAGTTTGAGTACCGCCCTGTCTCAATAATAATATTATGTGCTCGTGTTTGGCAACAACGGATATACTCCGCCTTATCGGTTCATCGCATCGGAAACAAAAAAGCGAAAGAATTTGGAACGATGTTTTTACAATTATTTTATTCAGTTGTATACAGTCAGTGTCAGTCGGTAACGCGTGAGTGAATAGTGGTGTCTGTTGCGTGGCTCAAACGAAATCAAAAATGGCACATGTTTACGAAAATGCTGAACTTGTGGACATAATTCTTATTTACGCGGCATCACGGATTTATGCGGATCGGTTTCCCAATCGAGTGCAACCAACCCCTCGTGCCTTTGTTAGTGTAGTACAAAGGGCTCGTGAATCAGGTGACTTAAGGCCTCACAGGGGAGGGCATGCCGGTGCTCCAAGACAGGTCCGCACTGAAATACTTGTCGGGAGGATACTTTATAAAACAAGGTAACATTTTTTTTTTTAATTTTTTTTTTATTTTTACACACATATTTTGGTTTATCTTCCTTCTACCATCATTATCTGAAAATTAATGACTCAATTTCAAAGTCACCCTGTATACATAACCTAACTTAACCAATCACCCAAAAAAATATATGACCGAAGCTAAACCCACAGCTTGAATAATCGATCATTAGTTTGTTGTGAGTTCGGTCATATTTTCATTACGATACGCCACTTGTTCAAATATCGTTCTTTCCACCGCGGCAGCCATTTTGTTCTCCACGCCACCAAGCAATGCTGAAAAAACAAAACAAATGATAATGAACGAATGTACATTTGTACAGACGGAGAAACATGAAGATGAAATAGTTTCTGCAACTTTTTATTAACTCTTTGTAATTATGTCCAGTATTTTGGGCATGTAGTGGATGACGTTTGTATATATTGCCGGACCACCTCCACAGTCGACAAGTCCATATGAGACTATACCGATCTGATAGTGTTGCCTTTTCGTTGTTGAAGCCTTCATGAATTTTGTTACCGGACCTCCAGAATCGCCGCTACAGGAATCTTTTTCTGCAATAGATAGACCATTATTTACACATAGCTTAACAAAATCTTTCATTCATTACGAAGTCAGAAAGAAAAGTACGACGTCTGTAAATTAAGTGAGGAGACTGGCAACGTAGCGTCTGATCTGGCAACAGTGTTTGTTGATGTGTTAAGAATAGTATACTTACTCCCATGTTCATAACCTATGCACAATTGGGTTTCATCCATTCCGTGGTGGAAGATAGAGTTACAAACAGACTTATCAATTATCGGCGCAACGATATACATGAGTTTGACTGCTTGATCATGTGTCGTGGAATTCGTGTATCCCCAACCGGCAACTTTCACGTTTTTGCCCGTCAAATCTTCCGTTAATACCTTTCCGTGCGGTAAACAGACAGGCACAACGAAATCTAAAACAAAAAATGTTCGTAAAGGATTATGTTCCACACAATCTAAGCTCTCTGAAAAAAAGTCAGTCAAACAGGTCCATAACGAAGTACCTGCATTATTACAAGGCCAGCTGAAGGCTATTCCAGTGTCGGAGTGGAAAAACTGTTTTCAGAAGGAAGTTATTTTGATGGAGACAATTTAAAACTGTAATCATATTTGAATGAAAAAAATAAACAGTCTCATTACTTAATTTACAGACCTCGTACTGGCTACTAGTTTTAGAAGTTTGACGATTGAGTCCTAAAGTCTACGGGTCGGGAGCATTTTCCTCACGAATGTTCAGATTGCAACATACATACCGTTATATACCACGGCATTTTCTAGTAATATCAAACTAAAATCCCTCTTGTGATCCTTAGGATTGTAGTCGAAGAAGTGGTACCTTTTTATATTTATCTCTTGAAGCGGATCTGCACAAATACCGGCTTCGCAATCCTGAGGCGTTAAAACATTGTGTTCTCCTAATGTGACACTGAAAAATACAAGGGGCATAAAGATATATACAGGGTGCTCATTTCAAAACTTTCCACCACGGATTTATCGAAAACCACTGATTAGAAGAAAAAACGCCGAGACAAGTCAAAAGATTCGTCAACTTTTTAACCAAAAACTACTTAACCCCCTTTCACCCCTTGCCTCCTAGGGTCATCCCCTTAAAAATTTTAACTTTCAGGATGGGGGGTAAACGCAATAGATTTCAAATGGCCCCATAGACAAAAGTCTAATGGTGACAAATATCAGGCGATCTAGCAGGCCATTCTATAGGCCCTCTTCGCCCTATCCATTTATCTGGAAACTCGTCGTCTAGCCACTTCCAGTTTCCTTCCTTTTCGATTTGGTTTACAATGGTTTCAGTGATGAGCGGATTGATGGTATTTTCCAGCATATCCAAATAAATGTGTCCATTCAAATTTCCATTAATAAACAATGGCCCAATCACTTTGTTTCCTAAAATGTCTGCCCATGCATTAGTATTCTAGGGGTACTGGGCATGTCCTTCTACAAAAGCATGAAGATATTCATTGCTCCAATACCTGCAGTTATGCTTATTAATAAATCCATTTAGATAAAATATTCATTACTGAAGCAGATATTCTTTACACGAATGGTATTATCATTAAGCCGTGCAGTGATTTGTATACGAGTATTTAATAGCAAAATACAAGTGTTTATTTTGCCGATATGAATCACAAACCATTCCGAAAGATAAAAGACAGTTAGAGGTGAAAAACTACTAACTTTAGCATCATTACTCATCCTAGAGGCGTGCCTTCAAGTGAAATCATATTATGCCAAGTTCACTCACCGAAAAGAGTTACAGAGATACAATCTAATCAATAATAACAAATTTACATTGATCAACTATAGAATCAGCATATACCGTAATAGCTCTGACTACCTATGTGGATCTATCTTCAATAATTTGCCCTCCCAGTTGAAAGCCATCAAAAACTGAACTGAAAAAGCATCTATCAACATATTTGTACCCTAAGTGATTTTACTCTCTACAAGAGTTTTATAATTTTAAATAATTAGATATACTAAGTGACATATAAATCCGAACACCCAGTTTAAATGGTTTTATTTTAATAAAAGTTGGTGAATGTATTTATCTTATTGTAAATAACAAGTGAAAAAATTTTCAGCCTTATCAGTTGGACATTCCGGTTTTTATACTGCTTTTTTTTAATTCACTAACGCTCTAAAAATGAATATTTCAGCCGCAGTAAAGAATCAACGTCGGCGGATATTGGTTCTTGACATCCTTTACGATCAGTTACGATGCCTAGAGTACGGAGACCTGTACAATTTCGTCAACTTAGTGAGTTTGATAGGGGCCGTATAGTGGGACTTCGGGAAGCTGGACTTTCTTTTCGGGCAATTGCAGTTAGAGTGCAAAGAAGTGTAGACACTGTGGTTAGGTGTTGTCAGGCATGGCTTCGAGAAGGCCGTACGCAAAGAGCAAGGGGCACTGGACGCCGTCGTAGAACAACAGACCGTGAAGATCGCCGCCTAAGATTATTGGTCTTAAGGGACCGTTTCTCCACTACCAGGTCCATTGCAAATGAATGGTTTGCAGAACACGGAAGACCTATTGGCATGCGAAGTGTTTACCGACGAATGAGAAGTTTTGGCTTGTTTTCATACCGGCCACACTGGGTCCTCCCTTTAACTCGAGAACACCGACGTAATCGCCTTGAGTGGTGCAGACAACGGTCACTCTGGGATCAGGAATGGAACAGTATTGTCTTTAGTGACGAGTTTCGATTTTGTTTAGGCATGCACGATGGTCGTGACATGGTTAGAAGGCGACGTGGTGAAAGGAGGAATCCACAGTTTTTTGTTGAAAGACATGTTCGTCACACTGTTGGAGTTATGGTTTGGGGTGCTATAGCTTATGGTTCCAGGTCACCTTTAATCTTCATCAGAGGTAACATGAACGCGCAGCGTTATATCCACGAAGTTCTAGAACCCCATCTTTTACCCTATCTTGACACCCTGGCAGATCCAACTTTCCAACAAGATAATGCCCGACCACATGTTGCAAGAGTCACAATAGACTTCTTTCAACATAATGATGTCACATTGTTACCATGGCCACCAAGATCTCCCGACTTATCCCCAATTGAGCACGTGTGGGATATGATGGGTAGGAGATTGCTCAATTTGCAACGTCCTCCTCAGACTCTAGAAGCACTTCGAGAGGAGTTGGTGGTTGCCTGGAATGAGATACCACAGGAGGACATTGACTACCTGATCAGAAGCATGCCTAGGCGCGTTGGAGAATGCGTAGCACATCAGGGTGCATTCACACATTATTAAAGGTCAAAGGGCTTTAAAGCAGTGCAATCATTTTGAAATTTTTATCATTTACTTATTATGCTTCATTAAGTACTTATACAAAATTTTATTAAAATAAAACCATTTAAACTGGGTGTTCGGATTCATATGTCACTTAGTATATTTATCGATTTTACTTATTATACATTTATGCTGCATACTTTTTTATTCCTCTCTTTAACAATTTATACACCTATATCTAAACAAACATACTGTTTTTGCTATTTATTTAACTTGTTATCATCGGTTCATAGTGCCTGATATCAAGAATTGGTCTGTTTAGATAACTAGCACAACAGCATTACACTGTATAAAAAGTGCAGGACCTCTTCCATTGACGCACCTAAACAAAAAATAAAGGATTCAAATATTGGGTAAAAATGTCGGCATCTTTAAAAGGTTTATTCGCCCATTCTACTGGTAACTCTGAGTCCTTTGGTATCTTTTGGATTTGGCAAAGTCGGCGCGCGGATATCGTAAAATTCAAAGATGCGTTAGCATGGGCTTGCGATGTTTTCCTGCTCTCTTCCTTTTCGGTACCCGAGTATAGCAAACACTCTGTATAACAGTTTATACTAACATGTTATTTCGGTCACCACAATGAGCTGCAGAAAGCACATAGTATCTGTTCAGAAGGGATCCTGCGCAGGTGAAAAGACGAATTTTCGAAATCCGTACGCCGATCCTCACCAGCCACGGAAATTGGCCGATTTTAGCTTCGTCTCCGTCAATGATCCGCCCTCGGATGTCATCGTAGCGAGTTCGACCGCAGTTTTTTCTGTCTAAATGTCGCCAGTTGTCGTGGTGCTCAATGGATGATACGGCCTCTTCTGGTTCCTTACTTGAAGATGCTAAAAAAATGAAAGAAGGTTGGTGGTCTCATAACTTTCTTTGGGTTGATTTACACTAATAACATTTTTATTTCCTACGCTGCTGAGCGAGGAAGTATGGGGTTGTCCAAAAGTAAACGCATATTAAAACAAGAAAGATTGATATTCAAATCAAGTTGGGTAGTTTATTTTGAAGGTTCATTTATACCATTTATGGATGAAAAATAATATCGCTCAAATGTTCACCACGACTGGATTTACAGACGTCCACGCGATGGTCGAAATTTTCAATGACATTTTGCAACATGATCGGTTCTATGGCATTTATCTTGGCAATGATGTTGTTTTTGAGTTCTTGGAGGGTGGCTGGTTTGTTGACGTAGACTTTGCTTTTCAAATATCCCCATAAAAAGAAGTCCAAGGGAGTCAAATCGCTCGATCTTGGTGGCCATGGCACATTTCCTCTGCGCGAAATCACGCGATCACCGAAGAAGGACTGCAATCGATGGATATTGACGTTGGTTGTGTGGCATGTTGCACCGTCTTGCTGGAAATAAACATCGTCCATATCCATTCCTTCAAGTTGCGGCAAAAAATAGTCCTCTATCATCACGTGATATCGCTCAGAATTGACGGTAACGGCGTCCCCGGCCGCATTTTCGAAAAAGTAAGGTCCGATGATGCCTTTTGACCACAATGCACACCACACAGTCACTTTTTGAGGATGCATCGGCTGCTCTTGATACTCAGGGGGATTTTCGTTCGCCCAGATGCGGCAGTTTTGCTTGTTTACCGTCCCATTCAAAGTGAAATGCGCTTCGTCGCTGAACATGATTTTTGATGAAAAATTGGCATCAATTTGGCGGTGTTCAAGGAGCCTATCTGAGAACGTTCGGCGCGAAAAATGGTCGGCCCGACGCAGCTGTTGCGTCAATTGGATCTTGTAGGCGTATACAGTCAAATCCTTGTGGAGAATGTGGAGCAAACTGGTTATCGAAATGCCCAATTCTTGGGCTCGACGCGTTGTTGATTTTTTCGGATCGTCTCTCACACTCTCCTTCACAACAGCAATATTTTCCGGTGTGCGAACGCTCCTTGGCCGGCCAGAGCCTGGCAGATTTGCCACAGAACCTGTTGCCTCGAATTTACGCACCAGACGACCGATGGTTGTTTCGTTTGGGCGGTTGCTGCGACCGAAATGTTCACGAAGCGCGCGAAACATGTTTTTTATTTTTGCACCATTTTTGTAGTGCTCTTGAATAACTTTAATGCGGTCTTCAATCGAATACGACTCCATAGCGATCAATGGTAAACATTCAACTAACAAAATGACATGTCGGTGACAGAAAACAAAGATGTCGTCTATGTCAAATCGACGTTTACTTTCCTGCGTCCCTATTGGACAACCCTTTATCATAATCGTGAAAACATTTTCGATTGAATCCCCAAAAACAGGTTTTCCCATTCTTTGTTGCCAGATAAAATGTTTTCCCACCAAAAATTGGTGTAGGGGAGACCGGGGCTGGTTGTCACATGGGTCGGTTGTCACAATTGTTAAATCTCAGCAGCTCCGCAAGATGTAGTTGCCTGGCGCGCTACACATCGTTTCCGCGTCCGCGCAGAACACTTGTATTTAGTACGAAAGTTGTCGTTGGTAGATTAAGGTCGCACGCACAAAAAATAAACAAATCGCCTGACCTGAGTAAATTATTCGTTTGCCACATAATTTGTGTTTTCAAGACGACACTTGATAATAAAAAGAACTGTTGAATTTATTTTGCTCTTCAATAATCCGAATACGACTTAACGTAAGTATTGACTTTGAATTTGTTAATTAAGTGACGCTATCTAACCTTAAAAATTGATTATCTAGTGGGGCAGGTTGTCTCAAATTAGCGGGGGCCTCTTGTCACATGTGGCAACCAGCCCCCACACTAGACGATTAGCTTTGCACATCATTCTACGTAGGTATATGTATACAATGTATTTTTTTAATATACTAAGTGACATATAAATCCGAACACCCAGTTTAAATGGTTTTATTTTAATAAAATTTTGTATAAGTAGTTAATGAAGCATAATAAGTAAATGATAAAAATTTCAAAATGATTACACTGCTTTAAGGCCCTTTGACCTTTAATAATGTGTGGATGCACCCTGATGTGCTACGCATTCTCCAACGCGCCTAGGCATGCTTCTGATCAGGTGGTCAATGTCCTCCTGTGGAATCTCATTCCAGGCAACCACCAACTCCTCTCGAAGTGCTTCTAGAGTCTGAGGAGGACGTTGCAAATTGAGCAATCTCCTACCCATCATATCCCACACGTGGTCAATTGGGGATAAGTCGGGAGATCTTGGTGGCCATGGTAACAATGTGACATCATTATGTTGAAAGAAGTCTATTGTGACTCTTGCAACATATGGTCGGGCATTATCTTGTTGGAAAGTTGGATCTGCCAGGGTGTCAAGATAGGGTAAAAGATGGGGTTCCAGAACTTCGTGGATATAACGCTGCGCGTTCATGTTACCTCTGATGAAGATTAAAGGTGACCTGGAACCATAAGCTATAGCACCCCAAACCATAACTTCAACAGTGTGATGAACATGTCTTTCAACAAAAAACTGTGGATTCCTCCTTTCACCACGTCGCCTTCTAACCCTGGCACGACCATCGTGCATGCCTAAACAAAATCGAGACTCGTCACTAAAGACAATACTGTTCCATTCCTGATCCCAGAGTGACCGTTGTCTGCACCACTCAAGGCGATTACGTCGGTGTTCTCGAGCTAAAGGGAGGACCCAGTGTGGCCGGTATGAAAACAAGCCAAAACTTCTCATTCGTCGGTAAACACTTCGCATGCCAATAGGTCTTCCGTGTTCTGCAAACCATTCATTTGCAATGGACTTGGTAGTGGAGAAACGGTCCCTTAAGGCCAATAATCTTGGGCGGCGATCTTCACGGTCTGTTGTTCTACGGCGGCGTCCAGTGCCCCTTGCTCTTCGCGTAGGGCCTTCTCGAAGCCATGCCTGACAACACCTAACCACAGTGTCTACACTTCTTTGCACTCTAACTGCAATTGCCCGAAAAGAAACTCCAGCTTCCCGATGTCCCACTATACGGCCCCTATCAAACTCACTAAGTTGACGAAACGTAACCGATCGTAAAGGATGTCAAGAACCAAAATCCGCCATCGTTGATTCTTTACTGCGGCTGAAATATTCATTTTTAGAGCGTTAGTGAATTAAAAAAAAGCAGAAGGCTGAAAATTTTTTCACTTGTTATTTACAGTAAGATAAATACATTCACCAACTTTTATTAAAATAAAACCATTTAATTTGGGTGTTCGGATTTATATGTCACTTAGTATATGTGCACATAACGCTTCAGATCGAATAAAAAAAAAGAATTACTGAAAATTGTTATTCGACAAATAAAGCACTGCTTTATTTGTATCTTGTATTTCTTATATCATTAAAAGAACATTATTTACTAAATTTTCTTTTCAAAGTTTTATTTTTACAGTCAGGAAATACCTGGTTCTTGTTCAGTTGCTAGAGTCGAATGGAAAACAATTAGAGGATATGCTTTTGAAAATAGAACACTCTAATATACAGTACTTTGTATACTGATACTGGGAAACACATTCACATATCGATTTCAATTAACCAACGATTTTATTACCGATTGTTCCATTGTTCGTTCAACCATTGACACGTGTTTTTTCAATACGCAAAGATAGCAAAGCTTTTAGCAAAACCGAACTAGTCGTTACTTCTTTGTTTTCTATCATAGGATCATGAACAGCAAACACTGGTTAGTTCATTTAGGATTTGACGCTAGAACCTCACTAGCACTGGCCAGATCCTCAGACAGCGGGAAGCTTTTAGAGCCAGACAGTAAAGATCTATAGAGTTTTAGAAAAAAATATGACAGACAAAAGGCCATCGCTAGCTATATCAACGTACTGGGTGTTTCAGGATGTCGTGCCAATATTTCTGGGGTAGAAAGTGCATACAAAGATTACAAAAAAGTTTCCATAAATATAGCATCTAAGCGAGATACACACTTTCTAGAAGACATGGATTTACACCCTTTGGTCACGCGATTAGGATCTATGTTTTGAAATATAAGGTGTAAACGTAAGGCAGACCTGTGTGCCTCTCTAGATACTATCTCGATTTTATAAGCCCGAGTGTACTTCCTGAGACCCTAGAAACACTTTGCAAGTCTGCGTCATGATCAGTGTTCTGTCTCAAAACTATGAAGTGTGACTAAAGGGTGGAAGCCAGATACGGTGAATTGAAAATCGTTAAATCTATCAATATAAATGAATCTGAGCAAACTAACCTGATCCAATAGCTATTATACATAATAGATATAGAAGGCTTGAAAGTATCACCAAGCACATTTTCTGACGGTAGAAGTGTTGAAGTAAATCTTTAAAGGTATGCAGCAATATGCAATAAAAAAATTCATAATCTGTATTATTTTTTATGGGTAATATAAATCGCTGTTTCAATCATCAAGTATACACAACGTTTGCGTTATTCCCAGGTGTATATGGAATCCAGCCAAGATGATTTATCCGAAAAAATTATAGGTATCAATTTTTGTATTATGACAATTTCATGTATCGTTTTCAACACATAAAAGTAATAGTTATGATAGAGATAATACAGGAAAGCTGAGGGTAGTAGAAGTAGTGGAAGATTGGTCCACACTTTTAATAGCTGGAAATGTACTAGCGATGTAGCAATCAGTCGTCGATCTAAAAGGGTGCTATACACGTTTTGCAATACAGCTTTATTTAACGACTTCCAACACATCCAATACAGTTTTCCCCGGGAGTGAGTCAGGAGGACTTTCTGACCTCATCGCTAGAAAACTGTTTTCCTTTTAGCTTCATTTTCACATGCGGAAACAGTGCAAAGTGACAGGGAGCAAGATCTGGACTGTAAAGAGGGTGCTCAATAATTTTCAGTCCACTAGTGGTCAAATACTCAGTGCAGGCTTTGGCGCCGTGAGTTGGAGCGTTGTCATGGTGGAGGCTCCAAGTGTCCATTTTTTACTTTGGTCTTTCATAGACTCTATGACTTTAGGCAAGCACTGTCCCGTGTACCACTTATCTGTGACTGTCTTCTGTGTGTCCAAAATGACAATATTTGAAAATTACAGCTATCATTTTTTTCTTAACAGATCGGGATTTTCAGACAGCTACGGGTGTGTCATTACCTTATCAAACCTTTTCAGCAACTCTAGGCAGCAAGTCGTACGACGAGTCTTCTGCTCTTCCGTCAGACTCTGTGGTACCCAGAGAGAACAAAGTTTCCTTACGTGCAAATGGTCATGCAGAATTGAATGAATTGTTGGTGCAGAAGGTGTAAGGTCTCCTCTATCTGTTGGTATGTCACTCCGCGTTTCATCACCCGCCAGTAGTTTGCTGGATCCCATCCCTTTCTGCTGTCCTGTCTCCCCTGAGTTACTGAGACCATGGTCTTGAAGAGGTCAGGTTTCAGTCGGCTGTGACAGAACAAGTGGCCTCCCAGAGGAGCTTTGCAGATGTACCACTTATCTGTGACTGTCTTCTGTGTGTCCAAAATGACAATATTTGAAAATCACAGCTATCATTTTTTTCTTAACAGATCGGGATTTTCAGACAGCTACGGGTGTCATCAACATCAAAGACCCAAACTTTGTTTTGAGCCATGGTCGACACATCGTAATAATAGAGCCAAGCCTCTTCATCTGTCACGATGCTGTTCACATACCGAGATTGCCCCTTATCAAACATTTTCACCATCTTTCGGCACCAAGTCGTACGACGAGTCTTCTGCTCTTCCGTCAGACTATGCGGTACCCAGAGAGAACAAAGTTTCCTTACGTGTAAATGGTCATGCAGAATTGAATGAATTGTTGGTGCAGAAGGTGTACGGTCTCCTCTCCCTTTCTGCTGTCCTGTCTCCCCTGGGTTACTGAGACCATGGTGTTGATGAGGTCAGGTTTCAGTCGGCTGTGACACAACAAGTGGCCTCCCAGAGGAGCTTTGCAGATGTACCACTTATCTGTGACTGTCTTCTGTGTGTCCAAAATCACAATATTTCAAAATTACAGCTATCATCAGCTACGGGTGTGTCATCAACATCAAAGACCCAAACTTTGTTTTGAGCCATGGTCGACACATCGTAATAATAGAGCCAAGCCTCTTAATCTGTCACGATGCGGTTCACATACCCTTATCAAACATTTTCAGCATCTTTCGTCACCAAGTCGTACGACGAGTCTTCTGCTCTTCCGTCAGACTCTGCGGTACCCAGAGAGAACAAAGTTTCCTTACGTGCAAATGGTCATGCAGAATTGAATGAATTGTTGGTGCAGAAGGTGTAAGGTCTCCTCTATCTGTTGGTATGTCACTCCGCATTTCATCACCCGCCAGTGGTTTGCTGGATCCCATCCCTTTCTGCTGTCCTGTCTCCCCTGGGTTACTGAGACCATGGTGTTGAAGAGGTCAGGTTTCAGTCGGCTGTGACACAACAAGTGGCCTCCCAGAGGAGCTTTGCAGATGTACCACTTATCTGTGACTGTCTTCTGTGTGTCCAAAATGACAATATTTTAAAAATTACAGCTATCATCAGCTACGGGTGTGTCATCAACATCAAAGACCCAAACTTTGTTTTGAGCCATGGTCGACACATCGTAATAATAGAGCCAAGCCTCTTCATCTGTCACGATGCTGTTCACATACCGAGATTGCCCCTTATCAAACATGTTCAGCATCTTTCGGCACCAAGTCGTACGACGAGTCTTCTGCTCTTCCGTCAGACTCTGCGGTACCCAGAGAGAACAAAGTTTTCTTACGTGCAAATGGTGATGCAGAATTGAATGAATTGTTGGTGCAGAAGGTGTAAGGTCTCCTCTATCTGTTGGTATGTCACTCCGCGTTTCATCACCCGCCAGTAGTTTGCTGGATCCCATCCCTTTCTGCTGACCTGTCTCCCCTGGGTTAGTGAGACCATGGTGTTGAAGAGGTCAGGTTTCAGTCGGCTGTGACAGAACAAGTGGCCTCCCAGAAGAGCTTTGCAGATGTACCACTTATCTGTGACTGTCTTCTGTGTGTCCAAAATGACAATATTTGAAAATTACAGCTATCATCAGCTACGGGTGTGTCATCAACATCAAAGACCCAAACTTTGTTTTGAGCCATGGTCGACACATCGTAATAATAGAGCCAAGCCTCTTCATCTGTCACGATGCTGTTCACATACCGAGATTGCCCCTTATCAAACATGTTCAGCATCTTTCGGCACCAAGTCGTACGACGAGTCTTCTGCTCTTCCGTCAGACTATGCGGTACCCAGAGAGAACAAAGTTTCCTTACGTGTAAATGGTCATGCAGAATTGAATGAATTGTTGGTGCAGAAGGTGTAAGGTCTCCTCTATCTGTTAGTATGTCACTCCGCGTTTCATCACCCGCCAGTAGTTTGCTGGATCCCATCCCTTTCTGCTGTCCTGTCTCCCATGGGTTACTGAGACCATGGTGTTGAAGAGGTCAGGTTTCAGTCGGCTCTGACAGAACAAGTGGCCTCCCATAGGAGCTTTGCAGATGGGTGGCTGACTTCCTTTTTGGCCGCAAGATATCCGTCGTGACTGGCAGGTTCTTCTCTTCATAACGTCAACGCGGGTGGTCCGCAGGGATCGATCTGGGCTCCGACATCCGACATGTCAACGACCTTCTTACCTGCACGATCAATCCGATACACAGCTTTGCTTCAGTACTCTACATGCAGGACTCTAGAGTTACTGACCGCTTTCTGCGGGTGAGCTAGAAAAAGGAAGACTAGCAGGACTTCCTTTGTCACGAGAGACCTGGATTTTATTCCTGCTTGAAGACGCAACAATATGGTACAATACTGTATCTTGACAAACAAGACGCGACCTAGAGCTCACATGGTTTCCATGTATGGCCAAATTCTAGCAAAGAGAGCCTACGTACGGTTCATTTTCATGAATTTCTTATACCCTCATACTCGTATGAATCAACAGTTAGATCTAATGTTTCATTCATAGATTTATGATACATTGTTCAAATCACTAACAAAGCAAAACATGTGAAATGTGTCCTATTGTGACAGTATAATATACAGTTTCGAGACATGTTGAACATTTTTTGTATGATGTATTATTTTGTTGGTGTACTGTTATGTGCATTGCACGTTTATGTTGGTGAGATGTACATATTTTTGACATATAATAAGAATCATGATCAAAGATTTGGTCATAACTGTCATAACGTGTCTCCTAATCGTTTTGGCACAAAATATTTATCGATTTTTTTAATGAAGAAATTTATTTAAACACTAACTAACTAGTTATAAAAGGTTGGGATACACCCCTGTTAAAAATTTCGCACCAGACAAGGATTTTATCTGCAAATTTCGCTTTATTTTTTTAAACTGCTTCTGTTTTTATTTTATTAATATCGTTTTTTGTGCGAGATTACTTATTAAATACCTAAATCATTTACAGTGGAACACAGTTGCCTAGAGTCGTCTAAATTGTTATTCAATATTTCTGAACAGTGAACTACTGTGTATCTTTAAAGTATGAACTAATAAAACATTTTAATAATAATGATAATATATTTATTGCTCAACAGATACATCCAGTTAAAGGACAACGTAATTGAATATCATTTTACGTTACAGTATTTTTAACTACAATCATAGCTCGCCCAGTTTCTGAAAAAAAATTAAACAAAAAAATGAATAGCTACACCTATTCACCTACATGTCTTAAATGTTATGAATTGAATAATAGTAGTCGCTGAATACAGCTAATATACTAAGTGACATATAAATCCGAACACCCAGTTTAAATGGTTTTATTTTAATAAAAGTTGGTGAATGTATTTATCTTACTGTAAATAACAAGTGAAAAAATTTTCAGCCTTATCAGTTGGACATTCCGGTTTTTATACTGTTTTTTTTTTAATTTACTAACGCTTTAAAAATGAATATTTCAGCCGCAGTAAAGAATCAACGTTGGCAGATTTTGGTTCTTGACATCCTTTACGATCGGTTACGATGCCTACAGAGACCTGTACGATTTCGTCAACTTAGTGAGTTTGATAGGGGCCGTATAGTGGGACTTCGGGAAGCTGGACTTTCTTTTCGGGCAATTGCAGTTAGAGTGCCAAGAAGTGTAGACACTGTGGTTAGGTGTTGTCAGGCATGGCTTCGAGAAGGCCGTACGCAAAGAGCAAGGGGCACTGGACGCCGCCATAGAACAACAGACCGTGAAGATCGCCGCCTAAGATTATTGGCCTTAAGGGACCGTTTCTCCACTACCAGGTCCATTGCAAATGAATGGTTTGCAGAACACGGAAGACCTATTGGCATGTGAAGTGTTTACCGATGAATGAGAAGTTTTGGCTTGTTTTCATACCGGCCACACTGGGTCCTCCCTTTAACTCGAGAACACCGACGTAATCGCCTTGAGTGGTGCAGACAACGGTCACTCTGGGATCAGGAATGGAATAGTATTGTCTTTAGTGACGAGTCTCGATTTTGTTTAAGCATGCACGATGGTCGTGCCAGGGTTAGAAGGTGACGTGGTGAAAGGAGGAATCCACAGTTTTTTGTTGAAAGACATGATCATCACACTGTTGGAGTTATGGTTTGAGGTGCTATAGCTTATGGTTCCAGGTCACCTTTAATCTTCATCAGAGGTAACATGAACGCGCAGCGTTATATCCACGAAGTTCTAGAACTCCATCTTTTACCCTATCTTGACACCCTGGCAGATCCAACTTTCCAACAAGATAATGCCCGACCACATGTTGCAAGAGTCACAATAGACTTCGTTCAACATAATGATGTCACATTTTTACCATGGCCACCAAGATCTACCAACTTATCCCTAATTGAGCACGTGTGGGATATGATGGATAGGAGATTGCTCAATTTGCAACGTCCTCCTCAGACTCTAGAAGCACTTCGAGAGGAGTTGGTGGTTGCCTGGAATGAGATACCACAGGAGGACATTGATCACCTAATCAGAAGCATGCCTAGGCGCGTTGGAGAATGCGTAGCACATCAGGGTGCATCCACACATTATTAAAGGTCAAAGGGCTTTAAAGCAGTGCAATCATTTTGAAATTTTTATCATTTACTTATTATGCTTCATTAAGTACTTATACAAAATTTTATTAAAGTACAACCATTTAAACTGGGTGTTCGGATTTATATGTCACTTAGTATATAATCGTCTCAGTGATCTCTATCCATGGTTGAAATATTCCCCCTTCCCAATGGAATACGCTGTATATATTGTTTTCCATCATGTTAACAGACAGTCTAGCCGTAGATGACATCGACCGCCACCCAAGTTGGAAATACTTCGATACAGAACAGTGTGGAATAACAAAGTACGACGATGTACAGCCTAGAATTGTGAACGGAAAGAAGGCCAAGTTGGGAGAGTTTCCATGGATAGTGCGATTAGGAATAAAGTTTAGCGATGCAGATTATATATTCTTCAGCTGTGCCGGGAATTTAATTAACAGGCATTATATTCTAACAGCAGGGCATTGTCTGGAAAGTAATACAATGTGAGTAGTTTCTTTAGTTATATTATCACGAAGTTGCTAGTGAGCGCGATAAAATCACACGTAAATTACTAGCAGAAACTGCCCATAAGCTTCATAAGACCATAATGATCTTGTCTCTATTTGGCTCCGAAATTATATGAACACGTACCCAAAGACTTAAAACAATTTTGAAATACACATAATTTTAAAGAGAAATTATCTAAATGGAAGAATTCCTATCAAATATTCTTTAAGAATTATCATCTACATCATTTGAAAACTTCCTACCACGGATTTATCGAAAAACACTGATTAAAAGAAAAAAAAGTCAAGAGATTTGTCAAGGAGGGCAACTTTTTAACCAAAAACTACTTAACCCCCTTTCACCCTCTGCCCCCCAGGGCCATTCTCTTAAAATTTTTAAGGACAAGAGGTATCGTGTAACAGCTGGTTTAAAAGGTTTTTTGAAGTTCGTTATTTTGACGTTTGATTTTTTGAAATCGATCTATTCGTTTTCAAGAAAATTATAAAAGCCTTTATGTATCTTAATTTGAACAGATAGAAAACAAAAACAGACGCAAATATCGCTTTTTATTCCAATAAGTGTTCAAAATGTTGCCCGTTATTGGATAAACAATGATATGGGCGATGTTCAAATTCCTGACGGCCATTTTCAAAAACGTGTTGTGGGACATCATGGCTGCTTTTGATGGTGCGTTGACGAAGTTCATCCAAACTTTCAGGTTGGGGAGTAGACACAATAGACTTCAAATAGCCCCATAGAAAAAAGTCTAATGGCGTCAAATCAGGAGATCTAGCAGGCCATTCTATAGGCCTTCTTCGCCCTATCCATTTTTTTTATTTTTTTACTCAAAAAAGGAACACCCTGTATACCTGGAGCTTTGCAAACTCACGACCTATAATAGCATCCCCAGGGATCTGTTTTGATTCCAACATGATTCATTTTCTTCTACACGTTTTATGCGCAACGAGTGACTGTAAATTTGTTGCTCATTTAATTTTTGTTGCTGTTCTAGAGCTCGAATAGGAGAAAATAATTCGAGGAATACAACTGACTGTGATGAATCTGGTTGTGCCCCGCCTGTACAAGACATAGGAATAAAAAAAATCATAGCGTTTGGCTACCAAAAAAAGACACGCAGAAGGGACTTCCAATTGGTTCTTCTGGAAAAACCTGTTCAATTCAATGGTAATTCTTAGATGTAACCAATTATTTGGGTACAAAGTACTTACGAACATGAACTCCGATAATTGCGTACAGTCAGGTATAATAAGATACTGAGAGAATCATAAACGTTACTTGAGGCTTCTATGGAAACAGTTTGTCTCCTTGCAAATAGTGGAACAATAACGCTTCCTTGAGAAACGTTCAAGGAAGATATTTTCAGTTTTAAGCTGTAGCCATAAAATGTAATAATACAGGGTGTCCGCAAAGTTGGGGTTTTCCTTTTCAGAAACAACTACCCTTGAAATAACAAAGGTAATGTGTAGTGAAACGAGGGCGACCAAGTAAAAAAAAAAAGGAAAAAGTACTCACTCTCCAGTTGACGAGAAGGGCTAAGTACGTCTCTGCCCGAAATCATACCGCTCCAACAGAAAATGAAATCAGCTGATGCGCTACCGAGCAGACGCCGGCGGTGGTGCAGACCACGAACAGAGGTAACAAATAAGACGGCGTTGCCGCGTTTTCAGTTTTTAGGTAAACGTACTTTATAGGTATTGTTCGAAGTTATCGCCGTTTGATTCAAAAACACAGGTGCGTGCACGATGTAGCCAAGCATCGGTGCAGGCTTTGAGAATGGAGTCCCTCCCCCGAATGAAAGCACCAGCTTGTTCAATTCTGAGACGATGTTCGTCAACCGTATGCACTTCAGTTTTGTACACTAAGCGTTTCATTTCTCCCCAAAGAAAAAAATCACATGGTGTTAAGTCTGGAGATCGCGGAGGCCACGCTACGGGTCCATTACGTCCGATCCACCTATTCGGAAATAATTCATCCAAAAACTCACGCACTTCGCGTCTAAAATGGGGCGGTGCACCATCGTGCAGAAACCACATTGATTGTCTTACGCTTAATGGCACATCTTCTTACAAGGAAGGCAAAATGTTGCGTAAAAAGTCTAGGTATTGCATCCCGTCCAATCGATTTGAGAAAATAAATGGTCCAATGAGCATACCGTTCACCATGCCAGCCCAAACATTTACCGAAAATGTTTGTTGAAAATGTGCCCGACGGACAGCGTGCGGATTTTCTGCTGACCAAATATGAGTGTTGCGAAAGTTATTCACCCCATTACGCGTGAACGTCTGTCACCAATATGCACTTCAAAAAGTCCGGATTATTGTCATGTTGATGCAACAACCACTCACAAAACCGCGCTCTTGCTGGAAAATCGTCAGGTTGAAGGGCTTGTACACGTTGGACGTGAAACGGATACAACCCCTCTTCACGCAGCGTTTGCCACACTTTAGTTTTTGATACTTGCACTTCTCTAGCCACGTCTCTAGTGCTTGTTGAGGGATTCTCGTCTACGCGATTCAGTAGTTCTTCCTCAACTTGCACCATTCGTGGTTGTCTAGGCCTCCCACTGTGCCCGCCTCGAAATTCCTCCAAATGGCCCGTATCCCTGACTCTCTGGACCAGGTACACAAATCTGCGGGGCCTTGGATGATGTCGTCTAGGGAAACGATCTGCATACACTCGCGACGCCTCTGTAGCATTTTGAAGACATTCGCCATAAATTAACAACATATCAACGAGTTCATTATTGGTGTATGAGTGTGCCATTATTTTTTTTAAACGCAATTGATTATACGGGTTCGTTTACCTCTACACGCGTGACCGTAACTGTCGGTTGAAGGTTGCATACTGACCTGACACACTGACCCCGACCCTGTCGTCGGGTTGAGCTAGTGTCCTAGTACCACTCGTGGATGTCGCGGCTACAGGACGGTATTCAGATATTTTTTATGTTGCAGAGCCCTTTATTTCGGTTCCCTTAAGACATTGGTGTATATGGTACTGAGAAAAATTGCTTATGTTTTCAAGATCTACACGTCGTGTAAAGGAACACCTCAACTTTGTGGACACCCTGTATATTTAGCATGTTGATGATAAAATTGGGACGATTTGGTTTATTAATTAAACAATGCAAAATAGTAATGTGTTTGCTCTCTCGAATTACAGCGCAATCTCAGAGAAGTAAAAAACTGAATATAGGCAACCAGATGCACCGAACAGCTCCGCGCCTGCTATCTGTTTCTTCTTTCAATGATCCCTTCTCAATCAAATGTATCTTCTACTTGCTAAGCTGTTTTTTTCATAGTCGCATTGAAGTTGATAGGTCTGGTTTTTTAATCGCAAGTTGACTGCGAACCTGTTAACCATGAAAAAGCGTTTTCCCATGTCTGAACGGGGTAGTTAAGTTCAGCTAGAGGACCATGTACTACCGACTACTCGGCGTCACAAAACATATGCAACCAACAATGCGTGTCGTTGAGCCACACCTTAATAGATGCACGCTGACAACGATCCTAGTGAGCAAAAGTGGATTAATCTGCAAGATGACATTTTATAGGTTTTTTTGACAAATCGCAATGTCTAACCTAGTAAGCTTGACGGTGAAATAAGTTGTCATGGATGACACAAGACTCACGAAGCGCATAAAACACGATAATTCGAGCATAAAAGCAGCATTGCCATATCAACGCTGCCAGAACATGAATTCACAGACAACTGACAGTTAACTTCCAAGTTATAGCTACCGAACTTGAAAGTTAACCAGCTCATGAAATACCGCGTCTAAATAATATAAACTTTGATATTATTACTTGATATTTGCAGAGTATGTGGTTCCGGTTTGTCTTCCACGAGGCCCCATTCTTACGAAAGACTTCTTGGGCAAGACAGTGCGGATTGCTGGTTGGGGTTACAACAACTCAACTGTTCAAACCCTACCTGATGACTTGATCTTCATTCGTGCGCCGATTTTGAAAAATGAAATTTGTAATAACATTTACAAGAATCCTTTGGATCAATCACAGTTGTGCGCTGGATACTTGAACGGTAGGTACACCGAGTGTTTCGATCTAGACTCTCACCAGCGGTATATTGAAAACGGATGGATGGAGGAAAAGTTACGCACGGGAAATGACACTTGAAAAGCTTACGAGTATTTCCGAAGAACACACAAACTCTAGTTTCTCCCAAAATCGTTTTGATTTTTTCCTGACTTCATTTGATAAGGTGCATTGTTACTTGGTTGGTTTTTGGGTTGTTTTTATTTGACGTTTCGACAATATGAGTGGTTGGTTTCTTCTGAAGATGCCAACCACTATCTTTCATAATTTTCATAACTTATTTATTTATTTACTTATCAACGAGCGACTGCCCAATTAAACTACAGCATAGAAAATCTGCCATAAGCAAGTCCTTTGGTAAAATGCGTATCTGGTAACTCCTAGTTTGTAAATCTTAGCATAGATCACTTATTTTATCTTTATCATTAATTAAAGAAACTTTCACTATGTAAAAAAGTATCACGAATACTTGACAAAATATACTAAGTGACATATAAATCCGAACACCCAGTTTTAATGGTTTTATTTTAATAAAAGTTGGTGAATGTATTTATCTTACTGTAAATAACAAGTGAAAAAATTTTCAGCCTTATCAGTTGGATATTCCGGTTTTTATACTGCTTTCTTTTAATTCACTAACGCTCTAAAAATGAATATTTCAGCCGCAGTAAAGAATCAACGTTGGCGGATTTTGGTTCTTGACATCCTTAACGATCGGTTACGATGCCTAAAGTACGGAGACCTGTACGATTTCGTCAACTTAGTGAGTTTGATAGGGGCCGTATAGTGGGACTTCGGGAAGCTGGACTTTCTTTTCGGGCAATTGCAGTTAGAATGCTAAGAAGTGTAGACACTGTGGTTGGGTGTTGTCAGGCATGGCATCCAGAAGGCCGTACGCAAAAAGCAAGGGGCACTGGACGCCGCCGTAGAACAACAGACCGTGAAGATCGCCGCCTAAGATTATTGGCCTTAAGGGACCGTTTCTCCACTACCAGGTCCATTGCAAATGAATGGTTTGCAGAACACGGAAGACCTATTGGCATGCGAAGTGTTTACCGACGAATGAGAAGTTTTGGCTTGTTTTCATACCGGCCACACTGGGTCCTCCCTTTAACTCGAGAACACCGACGTAATCGCCTTGAGTGGTGCAGACAACGGTCACTCTGGGATCAGGAATGGAACAGTATTGTCTTTAGTGACGAGTCTCGATTTTGTTTAGGCATGCACAATGGTCGTGCCAGGGTTAGAAGGCGACGTGGTGAAAGGAGGAATCCACAGTTTTTTGTTGAAAGACAAGTTCATCACACTGTGGAGTTATGGTTTGGGGTGCTATAGCTTATGGTTCCAGGTCACCTTTAATCTTCATCAGAGGTAACATGAACGCGCAGCGTTATATCCACGAAGTTCTAGAATCCCATCTTTTACCCTATCTTGACACCCTGGCAGATCCAACTTTCCAACAAGATAATGCCCGACCACATATTGCAAGAGTCACAATAGACTTCTTTCAACATAATGTGTTGGTGGTTGCCTGGAATGAGATACCACAAAGGGTTTTAAAGCAGTGCAATCATTTTGAAATTTTTATCATTTACTTATTATGCTTCATTAAGTACTTATACAAAATTTTATTAAAATAAAACCATTTAAACTCGGTGTTCGGATTTATATGTCACTTAGTATATATGGGGAAATCTAATATTAAATATTACAGACAGGAATCTAATTGAATTTTGAATGTTTTCTGGCTTCTGAAGAAATCAAACTTATTAGAATAATGATTTGCTAACCTTGAAGATCTAGTCAGGAAGGAATTACTAGCATAGTTAATACGAAATGATCTCACATGGAATGGTTGATTAAGTCTTGTTTGACGAGAAGACACATGGAGATTAATATTTTTCAAAAGTTCTGGAGCAAAACTAAGAGAGTTCAAAATATTATAAAATAGTGACAGGTCCCTCTGATTCCGTCTTACCTGCAGGGTTGAGATATTGAGAGAGCTTTCAATGATGGAATAGATAATATCTTCATCCATGTTTTGTTTGAATGAAATGAATCTTATGATCTATCAATCCTTTGAACAGGCGACATATTCGTATCTTCTAGAGTGTTTTCGAAGTAGCTAATGGTTATCTTTAAGTCTAGCCTTCAACATTTTATATTTTTTAGGAAAAGATTCTTGTGCCGGGGATTCAGGAGGTCCGATGACGAAATTTTTGAAACATCGTGAAAGAAGGCAACATTATCTGCTAGGTATTGTTTCCTATGGCAAAAAAGTGTGCGGGTCTGGCCCTGCTGTCTACACGAAGGTGGCTTATTATATGAAGGAAATTCTTGACAATATTGAATTAGACTGAAATGTAATAGCAAATTATATGTGTGTTGAAGATGTCATGTGATTATACATATGTATAGCAAATACATTGAAATTTTGCTTTTGCTTTTAATTTTTACAATAGTGCATTGATTAGTGACAGGCAGTACCACCTCCTAGCTCACGTCACAAACTGTGGAGTAAGCTCATCCATTCTTATGGTGAGGCTCACGTTGTTGCTCTTGATATCATCCCTATGCAAACCTCCATCTTGTGGCCTCCCAGAGAAGCTTTGCAGATGAGTGCCTGAAATTCGCTCCGGTCGCAAGATATCCATCGTAATTAATGGGTTCTCCTTTTCATCCCACAACGTCAACGCGGGTACTCCCCAGGGATCGGTCTTGGCTCCGACACAACGACGTTCTTTCCTGTACGATCAAGCCAATCGACTGCTTTGCTGATGACACCACTCTACATTCAGGCATTTAGAGAGGTCTGGAGGTTGGGGACGCAACAATGCTTCCAAGACACAGTATCGTACCTCTACTGACAAGAAGCATCCCGGCGCTCATCAGGTTCCGACGAATGGACGAGTTCTGCCAAAGAGCCGTTCATTTCCAGATCACCGAGGACTTGATCTGGCACGAACACATCTCGACAATAGCGGCAGCTGTTGTGAAAAACCTAGGCTATTTGTTTAGGGCTAAGAAGTACTTTTCTCCACATTACCTCGTCACTTTGATGAAGGCCCAGATAAGTTTTGAGTACTACTCACATGTTTGGGCTGTCTGTGTTGAAAATTGACGAATGTAGATATGTGAAATATCATAGAAACAACTTTAGTAGCTTATTTATTGTCTATACAGGGTGGCCCATCCATGTGTGGACGAAATATCACTCATAAACAAATACATTTTGGGAAAATGTATTTATGGCATGCTATACATGATATTTGAGGGCACATTTCTAAAATATTGGCTATTATACAGGGTGTCCCAATTTTGACCTATACAGGGTGACTTCGAAGTTGAGTCATTTATTTTAAAAGTGAGTATATCTGATCAAAATAAATGTTTTTTCCTTTAACATTTTTGTGGTAAAATTAAAGTAACAAAGTTATAGCCCTTTAGAAGTTTGAGTACCGCCCTGTCTCAATAATAATATTATGTGCTCGTGTTTGGCAACAACGGATATAATCCGCCTTATCGGTTCATCGCATCGGAAACAAAAAAGCGAAAGAATTTGAAACGCTCATCACGATGTTTTTATTCAGTCAATGTGTCAGTCGGTAACGCGTGAGTGAATAGTGGTGTTTCCTGCCTGGCTCAAACGAAATAAAAAATGGCACATGTTTATGCGGATCGGTTTCCCAATCGAGTGCAACCAACCCCTCGTGCCTTTGTTAATGTAGTACAAAGGGCTCGTGAATCAGGTGACTTAAGATCTCACAGGGAAGGGCATGCAGGTTCTCCAAGACTGCACGATCAAATACAGGTCCGCACTGAAATACTTGTCGGGAGCACACTTTATAAAACAAGGTAAATTTTTTTTTTATTTTTACACACATATTTTGGTTTATCTTCCTTCAATCATTATCTGAAAATTAATGACTCAACTTCAAAGTTGTGATTTTTTAAATGGAATGCCTCAAATTTTATTGCATATTTAGATAAACCAATTCAAAATAAGAAGATTGATATAACATACTATGGGGTTTTGGTAATTAGCCACTGAGATGTTGTCCAGAATAAACCGCCCACTTCCGAAATCAACAGTGAATAAAAGTATAACATTTTAGATACTTATAGAATGATGATAATGCATATATAATGAGCAGAAGTGAGAGAAATGTATGTCAATGATTGCTCGAACATGATTTTTCCAAATCCATTTTGAAACACTTTAGTATCAGAGGGCTAAGCATTGTACATGATACTGGCATTATAAGTAAAACATCTAGTTCTTACCTTTCAAAAATGGGGGAATTAAGGTAAGTAAAAGCTTATGAATATAACATAGTAAATGAAATTTAAATAGATCAAGAATAGATAACCATTCCACTTTATAAACGAGGAGGTAAGGTGATCATATTTCTTCAAGTGACAGATAAAACTGCAACACGAATTTAGATTTTCTTACAAGCGCTTGACGGATACTGAATCTAAAAACGGATGATGAACAATTTCCCAGTGTGTAATTTTTGAAATAATGGATGACTTAAAAAGAATTTTTTACTTTTGTAATCGAGAATTTGTTTGTCCAAGTACTAAAAAAAACTTTTCAACATTGTTCACACGAGGAATAGTATTCAGACATTATAATTTCACCATTTAATGATACAGTCGAATGTTTTTTAATATAATTTCCAATTGTTTTAGAAGACAATATAATTACTTTATAATATTTAGTAGTTGATTCCCCTCCTGTTTTTCAGCCCCTCTCCTTGACCTATTTTAGTAAACTGGTGGCTTCCCTACGATTTTAAGCATCAATATTGGCATCGTGAAGCAAACTATGAGCAGTAAAGATTATCAACAATGCATTATTAACAAAAGGTGCTGATTATTCAATGTAGCGTTATCGACGTAATGTTCACATTTTCATGTAATAATACTGAAATGAACTCATGTTATATTTTCTCAATCAAAGTAGGTACTGTACAGCTGAATTTAGTAAGAAAAATCTATGAAATGAGTATCCATATATTAATTTTCTCATTATGTATAGCGGCTATAATAGCTGGTAAGCATCTGTTTTCATTTCATTAGAAATTCCACTATTTATAGTATATTGATTTGTGAAATTGAAATCCCAAGCTAGATACGAATCTGTTTTAAAAAATGTTGGTTGCCTTGTAAATTTACGAAGTTGACCTCCAAATGACCTCTGAGGTTGTTGCCTAGGCCATATCTGAGGTCATTGACAAATTGCTTTTATGATATCTTGAAACTGTCCTCTGAACGATTATTCCAAAACATGCATGGTTGGATGAAGGGTAGGATAATGCATTGGTAACGGACACATTGCGGAAAACTTTCATCTTTACGACATAACCTCTCGTGACCCACGATAGCTTGAGCGCCATCGGTTGTCAAGCCTACCATTTTCGATATTGGAATTTTTTCAGAAGAAATGATATTTTAAAAGAAGAAAACAAGTCCTGCCCAGTAGTCTGTCCTTTCAGTGGAATAAACTTCTAAAGATCATCTTTAATCGTTAAATCACTAAAAACCATCCTGTCGAACTCGGCCATCTGAGAGGTGACGACGACATCTGTGGACTCATCCAGCTGCACTGATAAATAACCACAATTATCGGTCATTTTATAACTGTAAAACTATACTAAGTGACATATAAATCCGAACACCCAGTTTAAATGGTTTTATTTTAATAAAAGTTGATGAATGTATTTATCTTACTGTAAATAACAAGTGAAAAAATTTTCAGCCTTATCAGTTGGACATTCCGGTTTTTATACTGCTTTTTTTTAATTCACTAACGCTCTAAAAATGAATATTTCAGCCGCAGTAAAGAATCAACGTTGGCGGATTTTGGATCTTGACATCCTTTACGATCGGTTACGATGCCTAGAGTACGGAGACCTGTACGATTTCGTCAACTTAGTGAGTTTGATAGGGGCCGTATAGTGGGACTTCGGGAAGCTGGACTTTCTTTTCGGGCAATTGCAGTTAGAGTGCAAAGAAGTGTAGACACTGTGGTTAGGTGTTGTCAGGCATGGCTTCGAGAAGGCCGTACGCAAAGAGCAAGGGGCACTGGACGCCGCCGTAGAACAACAGACCGTGAAGATCGCCGCCTAAGATTATTGGCCTTAAGGGACCGTTTCTCCACTACCAGGTCCATTGCAAATGAATGGTTTGCAGGGCACGGAAGACCTATTGGCATGCGAAGTGTTTACCGACGAATGAGAAGTTTTGGCTTGTTTTCATACCGGCCACACTGGGTCCTCCCTTTAGCTCGAGAACACCGAGGTAATCGCCTTGAGTGGTGCAGACAACGGTCACTCTGGGATCAGGAATGGAACAGTATTGTCTTTAGGGACGAGTCTCGATTTTGTTTAGGCATGCACGATGGTCGTGCCAGGGTTAGACGGCGACGTGGTGAAAGGAGGAATCCACAGTTTTTTGTTGAAAGACATGTTCATCACACTGTTGGAGTTATGGTTTGGGGTGCTATAGCTTATGGTTCCAGGTCACCTTTAATCTTCACCAGAGGTAACATGAACGCGCAGCGTTATATCCACGAAGTTCTAGAACCCCATCTTTTACATATTGCAAGAGTCACAATAGACTTCTTTGAACATAATGATGCCACATTGTTACCATGGCCACCAAGATCTCCCGACTTATCCCCAATTGAGCACGTGTGGGATATGATGGGTAGGAGATTGCTCAATTTGCAACGTCCTCCTCAGACTCTAGAAGCACTTCGAGAGGAGTTGGTGGTTGCCTGGAATGAGATACCACAGGAGGACATTGACCACCTGATCAGAAGCATGCCTAGGCGCGTTGGAGAATGCGTAGCACATCAGGGTGCATCCACACATTATTAAAGGTCAAAGGGTTTTAAAGCAGTGTAATCATTTTGAAATTTTTATCATTTACTTATTATGCTTCATTAAGTACTTATACAAAATTTTATTAAAATAAAACCATTTAAACTGGGTGTTCGGATTTATATGTCACTTACTATATATATATATATGCAATTTTATAATTTATTTGTTCTGACAGTGTGCGGTTATATTTTCAAAACCCGGTGATTTCTTAACATCTAGCCCCAATATGGTTTTCGTATAAGTTGTGTTCCATTTGACATATCTTTTAAAAGATTCACACTAATTTCAAAATAATATTTAAAACATTCATTGTCTGTTTCGATATCGTTTTTTGTCGGTTCGTCATTTTCTTGTCGCACATCGGGAATTTCTTGGCATTTTTGAGAATGTTGAATTTTTTCTATGAAACGCCTTGTAACATAAATATTTCATATGCAGCTGATCACGACGTTTCACATCACCCCAACTGGAAGTATCTGGACTCGGAGAAATGTGGTTACACAAGATACCAAGAAACGAAGTACAAAATTGTATCCGGCAAAGCTGCCCTGTTGGGAGAGTTTCCTTGGATAGTCCGACTGGGAAGGAAGTATAGGAATTTCCTTTTTTTCGACTGCGCTGGTACGCTCATCAACAGATACTACGTTTTGACAGCAGGTCATTGTGACAAACGAGACGATGTGTAAGTGCGTTTCAAAACTGCTGCTAAGTTTGTTTTCATATTGTGGGCAGGATGCAGAGACGTTTCTTTCAAATATATACTCAGTGACATTGGAATTGACATTTAATAATGTGTGGATGTACCCTGATGTGCTACGCATTCTCCAACGCGCCTAGGCATGCTTCTGATCAGGTGGTCAATGCCCTCCTGTGGTATCTCATTCCAGGCAACCACCAACTCCTCTCGAAGTGCTTCTAGAGTCTGAGGAGGACGTTGCAAATTGAGCAATCTCCTACCCATCATATCCCACACGTGCTCAATTGGGGATAAGTCGGGAGATCTTGGTGGCCATGGTAACAATGTGACATCATTATGTTGAAAGAAGTCTATTGTGACTCTTGCAACATGTGGTCGGGCATTATCTTGTTGGAAAGTTGGATCTGCCAGGGTGTCAAGATAGGGTAAAAGATGGGGTTCTAGAACTTCGTGGATATAACGGTGCGCGTTCATGTTACCTCTGATGAAGATTAAAGGTGACCTGGAACCATAAGCTATAGCACCCCAAACCATAACTCCAACAGTGTGATGAACATGTCTTTCAACAAAAAACTTGGATTCCTCCTTTCACCACGTCGCCTTCTAACCCTTACACCGACGTAATCGCCTTGAGTGGTGCAGACAACGGTCACTCTGGGAACAGGAATGGAACAGCATTGTCTTTAGTGACGAGTCTCGATTTTGTTTAGGCATGCACGATGGTCGTGCCAGGGTTAGAAGGCGACGTGGTGAAAGGAGGAATTCACAGTTTTTTGTTGAAAGACATGTTCATCACACTGTTGGAGTTATGGTTTGGGGTGCTATAGCTTATGGTTCCAGGTCACCTTTAATCTTCATCAGAGGTAACATGAACGCGCAGCGTTATATCCACGAAGTTCTAGAACCCCATCTTTTACCCTATCTTGACACCCTGGCAGATCCAACTTTCCAACAAGATAATGCCCGACCACATGTTGCAAGAGTCATAATAGACTTCTTTCAACATAATGATGTCACATTGTTACCATGGCCACCAAGATCTCCCGACTTATCCCCAATTGAGCTCGTGTGGGATATGATGGGTAGGAGATTGCTCAATTTGCAACGTCCTCCTCAGACTCTAGAAGCACTTCGAGAGGAGTTGGTGGTTGCCTGGAATGACATACCACCGGAGGACATTGACCACCCGATCAGAATCATGACTAGGCGCGTTGGAGAATGCGTAGCACATCAGGGTGCATCCACACATTATTAAAGGTCAAAGGGCTTTAAAGGAGTGCAATCATTTTGAAATTTTTATCATTTACTTATTATGCTTCATCAAGTACTTATACAAAGTTTCATTGAAATAAGACCATTTAAACTGGGTATTCGGATTTATATGTCACTTAGCATACATGTTCGATGAGATTTAAATCCGGTGAACGGCCACGCCAAAACATACGGAGGGGATACGGGGATAGCTTCCAAGTTTTATAAAATAACAAAGATCTGGCCATCTCCGACCCTCGGACCTATCATCTTGCTTCATCTTGTACGTCTGAAATACAGTGCACAAGGTAGTTTTTTATATTACAGAGCACGTCTAGGAGAAAACTACAATGATAGTCCTGTTGATTGTGATGCTTACGAATGTGCTCCTGGAGTACAGGATATCAAGGTTGACAAGTATTTGGAGTTCGGATTCGAACCTAGAACCCACTATAGAGACCTAATGTTGGTTAAGCTGCGGGAACCAGCTCAATTCAATGGTGAGTGTTTGCTTGTAATGGTTACGTATCGGACAGCTTGCCACCTTTCTGACCTTTTTTACCAGCTACTACCACTTGACTGGATTTTCAAGCTAGTTGACATGAAACGAAGTCAAGCTCAAGTCAAGTATTAGATTTTTACGTTAAATGAGTAAGTAGTCTTGATATTACTTGATAGTTTTCAATCAATTAATAAGGATTGCAGTTCCCAATGTCATTTATATAAATCGAAATAATATCGGATGTCGAGAAGCTGTTCGAATGTATATTACACGATCCATTGAAAAAAATAAAATTTTGATAAAACACTGAGTACTGAGCTACTCAGTAGCTCCTAATCCAAACTTAAGACTCTGGAAGCTCATCCTGAAGAGTTATAGTTTTTAACAAACACTCTCATAAGGAGGTTGGCTGCTATTTAAGATTGTTAAAATTCTCAAAGTCACCGTAGAATACTTGACCTTGTCAACAGAGTACGTCGTTCCGGCTTGTCTGCCAAAAGGTCCCATACTGAAAACCGACTTCCTTGGTAAAACGGTGCAGATTGCCGGATGGGGTTTCTCCAATGTTCGTACGAGGTATGTGCCTAGTAACTTACAGTACATAGGAGCCCCAGTGCTGAGTCGTCAAGTGTGCAGCAACATCTTCATCAATAAGCTAACCGAGTCTCAGATGTGCATTGGATTTGAATCGGGTATGACTTTTTAAATTAACTTTCAAGCCGACAAACAAATTTAGTTTTCCCTGTACAGATTGTGTTACGTTTTTTTAACATGGTTTCTTCAAAATCCTTTGCGTATTTCCAACAAAATTAACGAGTTTGCCTTTATAATAATTGTTTGAAAAATTGTATAAATATAATTTCCCGGCAGGTGCAGCGATTGCTGTGCAATGTTGCCAAATTGTACGTTCTGTTGTAGAGAATACGTAATTAAAAAGATGAGGTAATTTACAAAATAAGAACCTCTGGGGTAAATAAGTTCTCCCAGTATTAACTAGAAATTAGATGGAATCCCGAACAGTAGAGGCCTAAGCAATGAAAAATGCACTAGCGGAGAAAAAATCTCTGAGGAAATTACTTTCTTTTGAGTAGTTTTCCAAATACTCGCTGAAAATGAAAAACTTACGCCGCGGCGAAGTAGTTTTTCCAATATTCACTGAAAATTTAAGAATAGTAAGGGTTGTCCAATAGGGACGCAGGAGTCGTATTCGATTGAAGACCGCATTAAAGTTATTCAAAAAACACGTTTCGCGCGCTTCGTGAACATTTCGGTCGCAACAACCGCTCAAACGAAACAACCATCGGTCGTCTGGTGCGTAAATTCGAGGCAACAGGTCCTGTGGCAAATCTGCCAGGCTCTGGCCGGCCAAGGAGCGTTCGCACACCGGAAAATATTGCTGTTGTGAAGGAGAGTGTGAGAGACGATCCTAAACAATCAACAACGCGTCGATCCCAAGAATTGGGCATTTCGAGAACCAGTTTGCTCCGCATTCTCCACAAGGATTTGAATGTACATGCCTACAAGATCCAATTGACGCAAGAGCTGCGTCGGGCCGACCATTTTTTGCGCCGAACGTTCTCAGATTGGCTCCTTGACCACCAAATCATGTTCAGCGACGAAGCGCATTTCACTTTGAATGGGACGGTAAACAAGCAAAACTGCCGCATCTGGGCGAACGAAAATCCCCGTGAGTATCAAGAACAGCCGATGCATCCTCAAAAAGTGACTGTGTGGTGTGCATTGTGGTCCAAAGGCATCATCGGACCTTACCTTTTCGAAAATGCGGCCGGGGACGCCGTTACCGTCAATTCTGAGCGATATCACGTGATGATAGAGGACTATTTCTTGTCGCAACTTGAAGGAATGGATATGGACGATGTTTATTTCCAACAAGACAGTGCAACGTGCCACACAACCAACGTCAATATCCATCGATTGCAGTCCTTCTTCGGTGATCGCGTGATTTCGCGCAGAGGAAATGTGCCATGGCCACCAAGATCGTGCGATTTGATTCCCTTGGACTTCTTTTTATGGGGATATTTGAAAAGAAAAGTCTACGTCAACTAACCAGCCACCCTCCAAGAAGTCAAAAACAACATCATTGCCGAGATAAATGCCATAGAACCGACCATGTTGCAAAATGTCATTGAAAATTTCGACCATCGCGTGAAGATTTAAGCGATATTATTTTTCATACATAAATGGTATAATTGAATCTTTAAAATAAAGTACCCAACTTGATTTGAATATCAATCTTTCTTGCTTTAATATGCGTTTACTTTCCTGCGTTCGTTTTGGACAACCCCATATAAACCTAAACAATGGAAACTGGACTAGCGCGACACATAAGCAATTTGGCAACAGTGCAACTAGATTGACAAACCATGAACAATGCTGATAGTGATGGTGGTGTAGTGATGGGAATATTCATCTTAAATAAGAGAAACGAGTATTTGGCAATAATTATTTCCATCATCAAAATAGTACAAAATTGCATTATTGCGATTAATATTGTCAGGCTACTATACCTTTTTTTATAAAAAAACACACTACTATACACCCATTATGTAAAAATACTGATACGAGTATTTCCATACATATTACACATTATAACAAGAAATGTAGCATCTGTTGTTCGCTCTAAAGTTTTTTTTACAAATTTTCATTGTAGGCAAAGACTCGTGCGCCGGAGATTCTGGTGGGCCAGTGACTAAGAACTTAATAGTAGACGGAAAGAGAAGGCACTATTTGCTTGGGCTTGTTTCTTATGGAATGATCAACTGTGGTCACGGACCTGCCGTCTACACGAATGTGTCTTATTACATGAAAGATATCTTGGATAAAATTGAAAAGAACTAATTGTATCGTATATCATAAACTTATAGTCTGTGTAATATCTTCCTAACCAGGACGAGAGATTGTATCACAAAATATTCAAACTTCAATAACGTGATTAACTTCTTCACTATTCAACTATAACAAATCTCCTACATAGGGGTTATGTGTGTGAATTTTATCATAGAAAAGCATTTATTTTTTCATTTAGCGTGTGGAAAATTACGTGGTACATTGCAAAATGAAGTGTGATATGGTTTCTCCAATAAAAAAGCGACTATAAGTATAAGCAAAAATTTTGTTTTGATGTCATGTACATACTCAAGCATACAGTTTGTTGCTCTAGGGTTTCCGTTTAAGTAAGTTGTCTTAATTTTCAAATGAGCTTGGAAGTTATAATCAAGGTTACGTTCAAGGTCATCATTTACATACAACTTAGATATATTTTTCGAGATATTTTGTGCTTTTCCTACTTTCTGAACACTCAAAAATATAAGGAAAATCATGGTCAAGGTCATGAGCAAAGACATGTGTAAAATTTCAGGCTCTTTACATTTCCGGTATCAAAAATTAAGGTTTCATTTGAGAAAACGGTCTTGATCTCCAAGTGACCTTGGAGGTAGTTTTTTACAATTTGCGTTCTACTGTTACAGATTAAAATTATTGATCGATGAACAGGTAATGCTTCCTATTGTTCCTGTTTTTATTTCATATTTATTTACCCATGTAGCATTGAGTGAATTGAAAATATTGTTATACTATTATTATAGTGAGATTGGGTTTCAAATAAGTTTCCAACAAATAATTATATATTATAATATATTACGTAAAGTATCTACTGTCACAGCCACATTTTTTCCGTGGATAGAAATTATGCTACAATGTCACAATGCGAATTTTACACACCACCCCAGAAATCAGACTAGCCAAATTATAATCTATTATTTACATAATCTTTTTACTATAAACCAAACGTAAAAGGCAAGTCAGATATTTGCTTTGTAGAAGAGAGGTAGATCGCCGACGTCCCGCTGGTGCGAGCAATACTCGACGCTAGGACTTATCTGCGCCTTGTCCATATAGAGTGAGGAGATCATGCGGAGAAAAGTACTTCTTAGTCCTAATCAAACAGGCCAACTTTTTCTCGTGATATGACTGGACGAGTTTACTCCACAATTGTGTGAAGCTAGGAGGTCCCTTGTGGATCGGTGGTGCCGGAAATCCTAGCGATTTGCAGAAAGCAGAGCTATAGGCCTGTAGTTGTCTTAGATCCCTTTTTTGATATCTGGAAGAGATGCGAAAGAACTCAAGCAAGCTCTGCTGCACACCTCTTCAATACAACGGCAGGAATCAAGACCTGACCATCTTACGGTCTTATGCCTCAATGTTACTTACCGCATAGTGTAACCCAACTAGCAAAGTAGTGCTATAAGCTTTTGGTAAAAGAACCGTTCAGCCATAAAAGCTCTCTATTGTTGTTGCCTGAACACCAAAATGCTGGCTTAATGTTGTGTGGAATGCAAATTTGCTTTCTGCAACATATTTGCTCTAAAATGAGGTGTTTAAAATATTCTTATAGCACCTTATAGGACAAATTTTTTGCTGTTGCATAAACGTTTATACAACTATTTTATACGGCATATTTGCAGGTTAGTCAAAATGGTTGTGTTGTGGCATCCATGGTAACGTTTATAAAACAAACCCGAGCCTTGTTCTTTTGCTGTGCCAATTTACTACTTTAGCCAATAAATTGCTCCCAACGGAAGCACTTATACAACTATTGTTTAGTAACTGTTAAAGGCTGTTATAGTTTGGTTGCAATAAAGTAGAATCACGTAACAGAATAGTTGTATAGTTGACAAAAACTGAATCTTGCACTGACGCAAATGTCCTATAGCGGCTGCAAGAGGCTTACACTTTTGTTGTATAACTGTTACCTGCAGCCCTTATACAACCTCTTAAATGACTGAAGTGTCCTATTAGGTGTGCCCATTCGACTTGTATGGCTGTTCTAAGAGGGTTTTGCAAATGTTCTTACAGTATACAATGCTGTGTAAGGAATACTGTATAATCATTCTTGCAACTATAATAGGAGTGATAATTGTTAGTTGGGAAGGAACGCTTTGAATCGACGGCATTTGGGAGTTGGGGGGCGTCCATGGTGGAGTTGGCAGCCAAGATCTTGGCTAGCACTTCCACCTTAGGCTTTGGTTACAATTGTTCCATCTTGAGAAGTTCCTTTCAATCTGCTTAGCCCGCGTGCCTAACTTTTATATCGCTTCTATTGTTATATTACTCAATACTTAAACACCTTGTTCCGTTTATTTTTGTGTCTGCTCGTTTGTATTTTTTCCACTAATTGTGATTCTTTCTATTTTAACCGCTACTTTTTCTACAAATGTATTTATTTATACTATATTTTCAAATTTTGGTGATAATGTACTTACAGAAGTATATCTGACGAGTCTTATCTCTTATCCATGATCCGAATACCTACAATGAACTATCTGTCTATCTAACGGCTTAACCTGACGCTGGCGGTGGTGTTTATCACTGTGTCTTCGAAAAACTCCAATCAGAAATCATCACCTCCTCATTTTTTCTAATATCCACTGCACGTAACTGCTTACTCTGGTGTACACGCCTGGCCAGTTCTCCATGCCGCACGGCGACGGTCCAAACGACACCACTCCAACAGCGTACCAGTTCTGATCGGCTCCATTTTGTTCGTAACTCATCAGGGGCCCGCCGCTGTCGCCCCTGCAGGAGTCCCTGCCTCGTTCGCCCCCAGCGCACATTTGGCTTGGACGCAGCACCACGTTGGCTTGTCGGTATGTGTTTACGCAGTCGGTACTGCTTTTTACCGGAACCTGCAGGCAGATATTATCATAAAATTGGTAACCCTGAAGCTACGCCTAGGAAAGTTCCTCAGTGCAAGTTTTAGCCTCCGAGACGGAAGCATCGGCTACGGTGACTAGCGTGCACCGCCGTTTACAATGTCAAAAGGGGATGAATCGATGTGTACTCCGTACAGGTTAGGACTTATCGGTTATTTTCCGCAATAAATGTCCGATAGTCCCGAACGATCCCATCCAGCAGTGGTGGCCAAACTTTTCAGTGTGTTGAGCTACTTTGACAATCTTGGAATAAACAGTGAGCTAACTAGTCGTAAGCAATGTAGGCTCACTTAAATGAAACTATAAACAGTCGGTACTGCTTTTTACCGGAACCTGCAGGCAGATATTATCATAAAATTGGTAACCCTGAAGCTACGTCTAGGAAAGTTCATCAGTACAATGTTCAGCATCCGAGACAGAGGTGATCGGCTACGGCGGGTAGCGTGCACCGCCGTTTACAATGTCAAAAGGGCATGAATCGATGTGTACTCCGTACAGGTTAGGACTTATCGGTTATTTTCAGCAATGAATTTCCGATAGTCCCGAACGATCCCATGCAGCAGTGGTCGCCAAACTTTTCAGTGTGTTGAGCTACTTTGATAATTTTGGAATAAACAGTGAGCTAACTAGTCGTAAGCAATGCAGGCTAACTTAAATGAAATTATAAACAGTCGGTACTGCTTTTTACCGGAACCTGCAGGCAGATATTATCATAAAATTGGTAACCCTGAAGCTACGTCTAGGAAAGTTCCTCAGTACAATGTTGAGCCTCCGAGACAGAGGCGATCGGCTACGATGGGTAGCGTGCACCGCCGTTTACAATGTCAAAAGGGGATGAATCGATGTGTACTCCGTACAGGTTAGGACTTATCGGTTATTTTCCGCAATGAATGTCCGATAGTCCCGAACGATCCCATCCAGCAGTGGTGGCCAAACTTTTCAGTGTGTTGAGCTACTTTGATAATTTTGGAATAAACAGTGAGCTAACTAGTCGTAAGCAATGTAGGCTAACTTAAATGAAATTATAAACAGTCGGTACTGCTTTTTACCGGAACCTGCAGGCAGATATTATCATAAAATTGGTAACCCTGAAGCTACGTCTAGGAAAGTTCCTCAGTACAATGTTCAGCCTCCGAGACAGAGGCGATCGGCTACGGTGGATAGCGTGCACCGCCGTTTACAATGTCAAAAGGGGATGAATCGATGTGTACTCCGTACAGGTTAGGACTTATCGGTTATTTTCCGCAATGAATTTCCGATAGTCCCGAACGATCCCATGCAGCAGTGGTCGCCAAACTTTTCAGTGTGTTGAGCTGCTTTGATAATTTTGGAATAAACAGTGAGCTAACTAGTCGTAAGCAATGTAGGCTAACTTAAATGAAATTATAAACAGTCGGTACTGCTTTTTACTGGAACCTGCAGGCAGATATTATCATAAAATTGGTAACCCTGAAGCTACGTCTAGGAAATTTCCTCAGTAATTGTACTGAGACAGAGGCGATCGGCTACGGTGGGTAGCGTGCACCGCCGTTTACAATGTCAAAAGGGCATGAATCGATGTGTACTCCGTACAGGTTAGGACTTATCGGTTATTTTCAGCAATGAATTTCCGATAGTCCCGAACGATCCCATGCAGCAGTGGTCGCCAAACTTTTTAGTGTGTTCAGCTATTTTGATAATTTTGGAATAAACAGGGAGCTAACTAGTCGTAAGCAATGTAGGCTAATTTAAATGAAATTATAAACAGTCGGTAATGCTTTTTACCGGAACCTGCAAGCAGACATTATCATAAAATTGGTAACCCTGAAGCTACGTCTAGGAAAGTTCCTCAATACAATGTTCAGCCTCCGAGACAGAGGCGATCGGCTACGGTGGCTAGCGTGCACCGCCGTTTACAATGTCGAAAGGGGATGAATCGATGTGTACTCCGTACAGGTTAGGACTTATCGGTTATTTTCAGCAATTAATTTCCGATGGTCCCGAACGATCCCATGCAGCAGTGGTCGCCAAACTTTTCAGTGTGTTGAGCTACTTTGATAATTTTGGAATAAACAGTGAGCTAACTAGTCGTACGCAATGTAGGCTAACTTAAATGAAATTATAAACAGTTGTATTCGACATACATGTGTTTCTATTACTCATACATACTAATAAACTTAAACTAATAACTAATACATATTACACTACATCCATTCCTTTTTAAAATATGTTGTGAGCCACCAGAATTGCCTTTGTGAGCTACCGGTAGCTTGGCGACCACTGATACACTGACATAGAAGAACGACGTATTTTAGACTCGTCTATTGGACCCGATTTACCTTTAAGCAAAAACGCCTCGTTTGTCCGTTAAATATCACTTACGTTCAATTTGAGTTTTATGTTGCTTTCTGAGCTGGTTTCTGTTTTTCCCCATCCGGCTACCGTTAATTTTTTCGTTGCATATGATTTACTCTGGAGCGTTTTACTTCTGGGTATACAGACTGGCTTCACAAAACCTGGAAAAAGTGAGCCAATTGATCAAGCATGTTTCCACACCAAACATTTAGGGGGTTAGATAGTAGAATAGATATATTATCTAAATCTCGCCTCCTGTAAGAATATTAAAAATAAAAGACGTGAATTATTATTATTATTTATGAGACTGGTCTTTCTTTGAACAGAAAATTCTGGACAACGATAGTTGAAAACTGTAAGAAAGACTGTTATACTCTTTACAACAAGTTGGATTTCCTTTGGGATAAATCCTTATAGTAACGTGTGTCCTAAAAGTTTTGGCACCAAATATTTATCCGATATTTTTTGATGAAGAATTGTATTTAAAAACTAGTTAACATAAATTACAACTAAATACTATACTATCTAATTATTTGGAGTGGCCAATTCCGCTCCACCAGACGCAACTTTCTTTGAAGTCCTGGACGGAATTCAGATCAATTTCTCTCAGTTTTTCGTAAATTCTCCGTCTTAATTGTTCTTCATCTTGGGCTCCCCCATCCTCCAAGATAAACCTTCTTAGACAGTAAAGCCCAAAAATCCACTATTGGGCGAGCCTGGAGGATTATCGTTTTTTGTGTTGTCGAAGACAGTTTTGGTCATCTGATGAGCAATGACATGACGCTAGGTCTGGCCGAAACATGGTATGGTCATAAGTATGACGTTCGTGGACAAACTGAAGCAATTTGGAAATGCAGTTATCAATGCAGAGCATCACCACTCACTCTTCCCACAAAAGGTTCGGATACACCCTTGTTGTTTCCTATAAAACATATCTTCTTCAAGGTCAGATCAAGATACCTTCTTCTAGAACGTTACGTGTTTGGCGTGATGGTGTGGTGCAGGGGTCGTTTCATCATTTTCCGGACTCTGGGATATTAGGCCCCAAGCTCCAATTTATGGACTAGCACGCATTTTTTGTGTAACTTAAGTTTAGTCATTTTGGTTTGGGTGCGCTACGTCTTCCATTTTTTTATGGGATTTTGACCTACAGCGGTAAGTTCTTCTTTATATACCTCGTGCCTAAATGCGTGTCCTGATGACGTTCGTTCGATATCTGCTTTCTTTTAGTCAATAGAAACAGAAGAGAATCATCATCCTTTCTCCTCCAATTGGTTGCATCTTGTTGCTGCTTTGCAAATTGGTGGAAGCCACCCCCTTGAAAAAAACCCTGATGTGAACAGGTAAAATATCATTCTAATTAACAATTTCATAGATCTTTATACATTCATTATTGCTTATTGAAATTCTTAGAGACTTCTTGATTTTATTGGACATTCTACGTATTCAAATATGGCTGCAGTGCCTACTTGGCGCCTTATATTACATTGATCATGATTTTGATTTTTGAGCTGCCATAACTTTTTAGAACAAGGGTTGCTTTACTTTTCTTGTACAAAAAAATATACAAGGTTTTGCTTCAAGCGCGATTGTTTTCAAAGAGTAGTTTTATCTCAGACACTGAGTAGAGTAGATTTTTAAACAGTCTTTCTCTCTGTATGTTTTTTTTGCTACCATAATTTTTGGCAACGAGGCAAGCAGCCCCTGCCCAGTGACATGCCCACTACTGGCCACTTTTCGACCAGATTTGAGGACATCTCGGCCGCGCCTGACAAAGAAGACCTACAGATAAGTTTGATATTTAGGCGCAAAATATCTGTAAATACTCGGGCGTATACCATGGTAGACGTCTCGCGGGGTTATCTCGAAAAATAATTTTGTCAGGTTGTATTTAAGATTTATAACATCCTTTTTTTTATTACTCGCACTCCAGTAGTGGAGCACAAGTGCGTTTTTTTTATTAATCAATATATTGTGGTTCATTTAATGTCTTGTTTTATTCGGCTCTCTCTGTGTGTACTGTCACTTAAATTTCGTCATCTCTGTTAGATAGTATTTATCATTGTGTTTTATTAATTAACCAAATATCGGCGTTTCACCTTGGGTACCAACTTATAGATACTTTTTCTTATTTCTAATGCATACGATATCTTAAAGCGAGAACTTCAAAATAAATGAATGTCAACTCACAGTAAAGTGAGTAAACAAACTTTTGTTTCCAAAGGCAACTTGATATCATTTTGTGTTTGTTAAAATTAAAGCCAATGAATTTTGTGGCAAAACTTGTCGGACATACGTTACACCCACTATACTAAAACTATTTAAAACTGTAATGACTCATACGCGTGATCAACACGTGATCAGAGCTCGATCCCGGCTTCCTTCCAGTACAGCCGTATAGCGTACGACATATGTCGTTTCTGTGGCTTTGCGGTGGTCAACAGCACAGACAGAGATGGAAATAATGGCTGATTGTTCTCCGCCGGTAGAACCAATGAAATCAAAGACGTGCCTCGACCGGCAGACTCATAGGCGTCGGCATCGCATTGGTACGTGTTTCGTTGAGCGATCGCATATTGTGTGTTTTTATAAGAATTGTTGTGTGATTGTTATTGTTGTGGTTTCTGTGGTTACTGTTTTGGTTATACTTAACCATGGAGAGTACAAATGGCATAAGTGAAAGTACTGAAAGCCAGGGAACAAGTAGACGGCTTCGTAAAGCACTGAAGAGGGACGCGAAAAAAATCGTGCTCAACTGATCCAAAGTTTAATTTGAAGGGACGAAAGGCCGTCAAATTCGATGACGATAGCAAAATGGCATTAATACGAACCGTACATTCATTCTTCTTTAGGAATGAGATACCAACTCTCAAGGCTGTACATGCAGCGATCAAGGAAAATGAAATTATACCCCAAATGAGCGTCGAGGTAATGAGGAAATCCCTGCACGAAATTAATTTTCGTTACGAAACGCGTAATCGGAAGTCAGTATTGATAGGGAGACCTGAAATAGTCACCTGGCGTCGAAAATACCTACGCGAAATGATTGAATATAGGCGACAAAGCAGAAAAATCTATTATTTGGACGAGACATGGGTAAATGCAGGTCACACGGTTAAAAAAACCTGGATAGACAAAAACGTAGTGAGTAACCGACAAGCAAGCATTGAAGGTTTGTCAACAGGTCTTCGTGGACCGTCAGGGAAAGGTCAAAGATTGATCGTAACTCATATTGGTAGCGATAGTGGCTTTTTAGAAGAGTGTGACTTGATTTTCGTCTCTAAGAAAGGAGGTGATTACCATGACGAAATGAATACCAGCTGCTTCGAGAGCTGGTTTCAAGGGGTGCTTCAGCGAGTTGAGCCCAACTCTGTGATCGTCATCTATAATGCTTCCTACCATAGTCGTCGAGCCGAACGTGTACCGACTATGGGATCTCGAAAAAGTGACATGCAGCAATGGTTGCACGAAAAAGGAATCCCGTTTGACGATTCATGTGTGAAAGCGGAATTGTATGAAAAAATTAAACAGCACAAACCTGCGAACATTAGTTACATGACTGATGAGATGGCCCGTCAATGTGGTGTCACTGTGCTGCGGTTACCGCCCTACCACTGTGAACTGAACCCAATAGAGCTCATCTGGGCTCAAGTGAAGGGTTATATTGCGCGCCATAACACAACCTTCAAATTACCAGACGTTAAGGTTTTACTTGAGACTTCCATACAGCTAGTAACGCCCGAAGCTTGGCAGAATGCTATCCGTCATGTTGTGAAGGAAGAAACAAAAATGTGGCAGCTTGATCACCACATCGACACCATCATAGAGCCAGTTATAGTCAATTTCAACGAGGAAAGCGATAGCGACAGTTTATTACTGTCAGATGTAAGTGGAAGCGACGATGAATAAAGGTAATTCCCAAATTTTTGACTTACAATATGTTTCAAACCACTCTTTATTAAGCATGTGACAAATCTAGTTCACCCATGTTAAACATTCATACCCCGCCTATGAACAGCCGACTACTGGTAGTTAAGTGATGTTCACGTGAACATCGATGAGTCATTACAGTTTTAGATAGTTATAGTATAGTCCCTATTATCTATGTATAGTTTGTTCTCTATTTTTATGGAATATTGAAGATGAACTCACCGGTATAATTTACTTCACGGGCCAGCCTGAGCAAAGCGATGTCATTATACTGACTGGCGTCATAAGGGTCGTATTGCTCATGAGCGATCCCTTCTTCTACGGGAATGTCTTGCGGAGGCGGTGCGCAAGTTTGCCTATCCGGAGGACCGACACAGTCTATTTTGTTGTCGGTGTCATACTCTCCTAGTCGTACCCCTACTCTGAAAAAGATGAGTAGATTTTTGACGTTCAACGAACATTTCATATAACAGCTGTCTTGATTCGGGTCTTAACGCCGTCGTCGGTTGGAATTTCTTCCTAACGTTTCGCTAGCACGAGTGGCAAGCTTCTTCAGAGGTCCTTCCATTTCCGATGCTGGATGTAGACTGACGACTTCTCTTGCGCAGGTTGTATTTATACCGGAGGGTAGGTGACGTGGCTTATTCCGCTGAGGGTCTCTTTCTTCCTGTTGAAGTTATCTTCATGTTTGTAAATCTCGATAGCTTCCCTGACCAGTCTATTGTGATAGCCGTTGACTGATGACAGCAACCTGCAGCTCCCAAAGTGTATCCCCCCATTGCTTAGTATAAATATAACCTGCACAAGAGAAATCGTCAGTCTACATCCAGCATCGGAAATGGAAGTACCTCTGAAGAAGCTTGCCACTCATGCTAGCGAAACGTTAGGAAGAAATTCCAACCGACGACGACCTTTAGACCCGAGTCAAGACAGCGAAAGCCTTAACCAATTTGTCATTTCTTATAATCTCACGTCTGCTTCTTGGCAAACATTCACAAAAAGACGTTCTTCATTGCATATATTGTTTTACACCGAATGCCATTCGGAGATAGGTAGGCAAATTTAATCTTGGTTTCACATTTCGCAAGTATTAAAATTGGGATGCACTTACAATTTCCAGGTCTTCGGTAGCTCTTTTCCTTTTAAACAGTGAGCTGCAGTCAAAACGTATCTTTTATTTATGAGAACACCTCCACAGTAAAATCCATGTCCCCCATTGTCTGAAATGTGTAAGTGATTCGTGTTTCAATAAATGTACGCAAAAAGAAAGCATTGTCGCGGCATTATATGAATTTAACCTCCTAAACCAAGCTAACTAGCCAAAAGACAAAATGTAATAACCTGTTTTACAACCGAATTATGTTCTGTACGTAAACAAGAAGGTGCGGGTTGTTGTAGATCAGGATATGATAAATTTGAGAGAACAAATTGTATCAAGGTGTTTTGCAAGGGTAACTTTTTTATTATACATTACAGCTGGAAAAGGAAGACACATATTTTTGATCATTATTGAAATGGCACCTTTAATTTTCCAAATTGTAGGATTACAGTCACCTTCCATAGCATTCAGCAACTTTCTTTCCCAATCTAACAATTTAATTGCTTTATTACCAGTTTTTTTAGATCTGTTTTTTCTTCAATCTTGATTTCACGTTGCTGATTTTTTTTTAATATCTAATGGTTTACCGAATGTTGATTCGTATTTTTTCAACATCTTCTTCAAGGCATCGTCCTTTCTCATTTTTATTTTTGGAACTTGTGACTTTTCCAAAATAATGGGAGCAATGGCAATTTCATCTGCGATGAACTGCAGGTCGTTGCCATTATTTTCTATAGTTTCCTCATCACTTGAGGATGACATGCTTATTAATTTGATAAACAACTGTATCCAGTAAAAATACGGAACGATCTGTGTAAGCTCTGGAGTACAACTGTCAGTGATGCAAAGTGAACGAACATTTTGCTCAAGATACAAATACCAGTCAACCTTTTACTTATTCATAGAGGATATCCTCGCGAGTATAAGGCAATCATTATGAATATGAAAACAAGGATATTCTTATACTTCAACCTTTTTCTCCGAAGCAAGACCTTATACTTTACGCTTCCGAGGATATGCTTCTCTTTTATGAATACGGCTCATTGAACCGTACAAATGCGGATCTAACAGTGTTAACATTTTTCTTGTATACCTGTCGCCTGCAGACCCGCATTTACAGAGGACCTACTCAAATTTAACAGGAAGTACTACAAAATCCTTTAGATTCTATCTATCAGAGCGGAAGCAATACGGAGCATGTCCGACACCCACTCAGCTCTATCAGGTGTTCCCCAGGGGTCTAGCTGGGGACCACTTTTAGTTCTATGTATATTAATTACGTTTGTGAAAATTTTAAATGTATGCAATTGTGTTTTGCTGACGACATGAAAATGTATACGTCTTTAAGGGATATTCATGATTATTTATATTTAAAGTTGGAATTAAATACTATTCCAACAACTGCAAGATTGTTAGTTATAGTAGGTAAAAAGCCCTGCATATTTTCAACTGTAATATTGGTGCGTTGTTGAATAGATGTGATACAATATGAGATTTAGGTGTCGTTTATGACCAAGGATTAACATTTGCTTCCCATATTTCTCAAAAAGTTTTAGGAGCATTTAAATCATACAGTTTCCTTGTATATGGCGCCAATATTATCAAAGTTATATAAGTGAAATTGTTAAGGTTCAAAGAAGGTTCTTCAGATTCTTTTATATAAAGTTTGAGAGAGCTTATACTGAGCAAGGCGTTAGCATTGCAAGCTGCATGCAAGAGCTTTAGTCAAGGCTGGGCACATTACTTTAGAAAGTCAAATAGCCGTTCTAAGAGCAGCTTTGTTAATACTCGATTTTGTGTAAAGAATACCGTGTAAACGTAGCAGGAGTAATAATTGTTAGTTGGGTAATGTACGAGTATAACCCGAAATAGCAATACTAACCTTTCTCGTACTCTATCAATGCCATCCAAGGGAATTCATCAATGCCAGCCACTTCCCCTCCATAGATCCTGTCCTGAGTGTCTGTTCCGCATTCGTCTATAGATGGCAACAGGGAACTGTCAGCTGGTTCAGCTGAAACCAAGTAAGTAAAACTTGCGGAATTCGTCTAGGAGAGATCCTAAGACCTTTGAGAATGACACGCGGACTGTATGTGCCCTAACGAGAGAAGAATGGAAACCTGAAGGTTGGCAGATCTTCGGAAAAGAAGCAGTCAAAGGTTTCTGGTAAGACTGTTGCGAAGAAATCGGGGTTAAACCCAATAAATAATATACTAAGTGACATATAAATCCGAACACCCAGTTTAAATGGTTTTATTTTAATAAAATATTGTATAAGTACTTAATGAAGCATAAGTAAATGATAAAAATTTCAAAATGATTGCACTGCTTTAAAGCCCTTTGACCTTTAATAATGTGTGGATGCACCCTGATGTGCTACGCATTCGCCAACGCGCCTTGGCATGCTTCTGATCAGGTGGTCAATATCCTCCTGTGGTATCTCATTCCAGGCAACCACCAATTCCTCTCGAAGTGCTTCTAGAGTCTGAGGAGGACGTTGCAAATTGAGCAATCTCCTACCCATCATATCCCACACGTGCTCAATTGGGGATAAGTCGGGAGATCTTGGTGGCCATGATAACAATGTGACATCATTATGTGGAAAGAAGTCTATTGTGACTCTTGCAACATGTGGTCGGGCATTATCTTGTTGGAAAGTTGGATCTGCCAGGGTGTCAAGATAGGGTAAAAGATGGGGTTCTAGAACTTCGTGGATATAACGCTGCGCGTTCATGTTACCTCTGATGAAGATTAAAGGTGACCTGGAACCATAAGCTATAGCACCCCAAACCATAACTCCAACAGTGTAATGAACATGTCCTTCAACAAAAAACTGTGGATTCCTCCTTTCACCATGTCGCCTTCTAACCCTGGCACGACCATCGTGCATGCCTAAACAAAATCGAGACTCGTCACTAAAGACAATACTGTTCCATTCCTGATCCCAGAGTGACCGTTGTCTGCACCACTCAAGGCGATTACGTTGGTGTTCTCGAGTTAAAGGTAGGACCCAGTGTGGCCGCTATGAAAACAAGCCAAAACTTCTCATTCGTCGGTAAACACTTCGCATGCCAATAGGTCTTCCGTGTTCTGCAAACCATTCATTTGCAATGGACCTGGTAGTGGAGAAACGGTCCCTTAAGGCCAATAATCCTGGCGGCGATCTTCACGGTCTGTTGTTCTACGGCGGCGTCCAGTGCCCCTTGCTCTTTGCGTACGGCCTTCTCGAAGCCATGCCTGACAACACCTAACCACAGTGTCTACACTTCTTTGCACTCTAACTGCAATTGCCCGAAAAGAAAGTCCAGCTTCCCGAAGTCCCACTATACGGCCCCTATCAAACTCACTAAGTTGACGAAATCGTACAGGTCTCCGTACTCTAGGCATCGTAACCGATCGTAAAGGATGTCAAGAACCAAAATCCGCCAACGTTGATTCTTTACTGCGGCTGAAATATTCATTTTTAGAGCGTTAGTGAATTAAAAAAAAGCAGTATAAAAACCGGAATGTCCAACTGATAAGGCTGAAAATTTTTTCACTTGTTATTTACAGTAAGATAAATACATTCACCAACTTTTATTAAAATAAAACCATTTAAACTGGGTGTTTTGATTTATATGTCACTTAGTATATATGTACTGGCTTTATTTTATTGTATTTGTTTACGAACTGCCACATTTTTGTTGGGCCGTCTTTGTTTTTGTATATATTGTTTTTTAGAAAGTTTGTTTTTGCCATGTTAATGACTTTGGTTAGCTTATTGCGATACGTTTTAAAGTCGTTTAGTAACTGAGCGTTTTCAGGATGATTTTTTGTAGCCTTTTACAGTGTTGATTTTTTTTATTAATTGAATTTACAATCCCATTTGTAATCCATGGCTGTCTCTTTATGTTGTTACGATTTATTTCAATTGTTTTGGAGTTACTGTCTATGTATTCTCCTAGAAGTTTTACAAAAACATTTAATGCTTTGCCTGGATGCTCTTCATTGTACACATCATACCAGTTTTCGGTAATTAAGGCTTCAGTCAGCTTTCTGTAGTTTATATATGTCCTGTATTTTTTCGTTGTTTTTTGTTTAAATTCTTTATTGTCTTTTATAGACAATTTTAGTATTATGGGAAAATGGTCTGTAATGTTATAATGCAATATAGCCGAAGAAATACCCTTAGTTGTGTGTCCATACTTTTGGGACAGCCTGAATACAAAACATAAGTAAGAGTGAGCGTGGGAAATAAAACTATTGATTTGGATAGCAGAGTATTTTTCTGATAAAAGCCTCCACCGCATTTTACATACTTACCCTCTGTGACTGGAACGGTGCGTGCTGTAGTCGTAGACATAGGCTCATTGGCACCATCCAACGGACAACAAACCTTGGGCATGGTTCCCTCGAAGCCGCATTGAGATCTCCTCAAATAATCTGCATCCTGAGCTCTGAGTGGTCTCTTCTGCAGTATAGACAGCAAAGGCGGACATGCGCTGATGACTCTGCATTCACCTTGCTTGTTCCTGGGCGTTTGACATAGCTCCTTCTCGCTGCCTGAAAAGAATGAATCGCTGATGCCAAAAGTTGTTGTAAAGGCCATTTTAAGAAAGAGCAGCAGATCCTGTTTGATGTTCTACAGGGTGACTTCGAAGTTGAGTCATTTATTTTAACAGTGACTAGATCTGATCAAAAGAAATGTGTTTTTCCTTTACCATTTTTCTGGTAAAACTAAAGTAACAAAGTTATAGCCCTTTGGAAGTTTGAGTACCGCCCTGTCTCAATAATAATAGTATGTGCTCGTGTTTGGCAACTACGGATATAATCCGCCTTATCGGTTCATCGCATCGGAAACAAAAAAGCGAAAGAATTTGGAACGATGTTTTTACAATTATTTTATTCAGTTGTATACAGTCAGTGTCAGTCGGTAACGCGTGAGTGAATAGTGGTGTCTGTTGCGTGGCTCAAACGAAATCAAAAATGGCACATGTTTACGAAAATGCTGAACTTGTGGACATGATTCTTATTTACGCGGCATCACGGATTTATGCGGATCGGTTTCCCAATCGAGTGCAACCAACCCCTCGTTCCTTTGTTAATGTAGTACAACGGGCTCGTGAATCAGGTGACTTAAGACCTCACAGGGGAGGGCATGCCGGTGCTCTAAGACCGCACGATCAAATACAGGTCCGCACTGAAATACTTGTCGGGAGGATACTTTATAAAACAAGGTAACATTTTTTTTTTAATTTTTTTTTATTTTCACACACATATTTTGGTTTATCTTCCTTCTACAATCATTATCTGAAAATTAATGACTCAACTTCAAAGTCACCCTGTATATCCGCAGAAAATGTTTTGGGTTAGAGCAGATTTATTCCTAGTTGAAATTGAGAAAACGGTAGCCGCCAATAGCCAAAACACAGTAGTACTGTACCTTGACCAACAAAAAGCGCACTAGCGCCCATCCGGTTTCGATGGACCAAAAACCCGGTCAGTGCCTACATCCAGAACTGGCCGCTTCTTTGTTATTTGTCTGCCTGAGGAGGCTTTTCCCAGTTCTACTAACCTTAGACAGTTCAAAAACCGGATAAGTGAAATTATGCTTAACTCCTTACATGCCCCGCTATTTAGGCTTTAGTCTACGCGGTAGCTTTAGCATAAAAAATAAATGATCTATACTTCATGAATGATGATTAGTAGCAGATACGAAATTCAAAAAATCGTCTCCTGACTTGTTATTTATAGTGGAATTTTTAGATGAATTTTAAGACGAAGAATAGGGAGTTCGAACTTCGAATCAAACAACAAAGGAAGATGGAGAGTGTTGATACTATCCCAATCATTCTATTATCAACCGGGGTAATCCTCAAGCGCTGCTGGAGAATATCAAGAAAATTTGACTCAATGACAATGCAGAAAAAAGTTTTATTGGCAACCGCTCGTACACTTAGGACGTTCAAGGGGAATGCGAAAAGTAACATCCTTACGTAACAAGTTGAGATAAAACTCAAACCCTTCGATGCCGGACGCAACTGGGATGAGTGAATGTTACCCCCAAAGAGGAGAAAAGTGCCATGTGGCTAATAAAATAATAATAATGATAGGCGCAACCAGAATATATTACACGACCATGTTGTAAAAGCCTTGTACCACGTCACCATCAAGACAATGGCATAGCTGTCAAGAGGAATTCGTATTAACATGACCCGCAAACAAACCAAACCTAGTAATTAAAGACACCAAAAATGGCATCTGTATCATCATCGACGTAGCCCAATGACTACAATGTGCAGGAAGAAGATTCTGGAAAGATTCTTAAGTATGTAAGCATACACAATATTTAAGACACTTTTCTGCACATGAGTCACTCTGTAAAAGGTTCGCTTGACACTTGGCATGCAAAGAAAGGCGCTGCTGGCATTCACACTTCAACAACCACATTCGTGAAACCAAGGGCACGCTGAGGCACAGTTGAAATATCGGAGTGTCTGTGTGTTGCGATTTTGTGAATAATGTCCATATCAAGCCCATGTCAAGGTTCGATCGATCAAACGGTGACGGTTTTCACTGAGTATCTTTTATTGTTTTGCTGTACTGCATGCCATGTGTATTTTCTAACCATGGTGCCCTTATAATCATGATAATAATTGTAATAAGTCAAAGCTGGTCAGATGAGATATACAGGGTGACTTTGAAGTTGAGTCATTAGTTTTCAGATAATGATTGTAGAAGGAAGATAAACCAAAATATGTGTGTAAAAATAAAAAAACAAAATAAAAAAAAATTACCTTGTTGATCGTGAGGTCTTGGAGCACCGGCATGCCCTCTCCTGTGAGGTCTTAAGTCACCTGATTTACGAGCCCGCTGTACTACATTAACAAAGGCACGAGGGGTTGGTTGCACTCGATTGGGAAACCGATCCGCATAAACATGTGCCATTTTTTATTTCGTTTGAGCCACGCAGCAAACACCACTATTCACTCACGCGTTACCGACTGACACATTGACTGAATAAAAACATCGTGATCAGCGTTTCAAATTCTTTAGCTTTTTTGTTTCCGATGCGATGAACCGATAAGGCGGATTATATACGTTGTTGCCAAACACGAGCACATAATATTATTATTGAGACAGGGCGGTACTCAAACCTCTAAAGGGCTATAACTTTGTTACTTTAATTTTACCACAAAAATGTTAAAGGAAAAAACATTTCTTTTGATCAGATCTACTCACTGTTAAAATAAATGACTCAACTTCGAAGTCACCCTGTATTTATCAACAGTTAAGATAAAGTTAAAGGTAACTTAGAGTCAAACATCTACAGAGGTGTGACGCCTCCATATCCTGGAGGCTGTTATGAGACATACAGAGCCGGGTTGCCATCGGGGGAATTACTGCCCGGTTTCCTCTGTCAGGGGAAATGTCGGAGCGTATTGCGTATTGACACAACGGCCATTGGCCGGCGTGGTATCCTAGGTCTGTGTGACCGCCAAGGTTCTTCTCGAGGCGGTCGCAGGAGTCTGAAAGTATCTCATGGCAAGATGTGTATAGGGATTGTTTCTTAAAGTTGTCACGCTGTTCGGTTATCTCTCAATGAGAGGTATGGTCGGAGCTTTTGGGTATTGACACGGCAACGTGATATCCTGGCTTCTGGGCTGCTTTTCGTAACAATCAAATACTTGGCATATATGTCTAAGGACCAGATTATTAAGGTTCCCATATCGGGCGTGACTTCAATGCGGTAGGAAGCTACCGTTCCCCCGAGTATGGACACGGGCGTGACTTCCATGCGGTAGGAAGCTACCGTTCCCCAGGGCAAGGTATTTCCATACCAGGCGTGACTTCCATGCGGTAGGAAGCTACCGTTCCCCTGATCATGGACATGGGTGTGACTTCAATGCGGTAGGAAGCTACCGTTCCCCCGTGCAAGGTATTTCCATATCAGGCGTGACTTCCATGCGTTAGGAAGCTACCGTTCCCCTGATCATGGACACGGGCGTGACTTCCATGCGGTAGGAAGCTACCGTTTCCCTGATCATGGACACGGGTGTGACTTCAATGCGGTAGGAAGCTACCGTTCCCCCGTGCAAGGTATTTCCATATCAGGCGTGACTTCCATGCGGTAGGAAGCTACCGTTCCCCTGATCATGGACGCGGGCGTGCGTGACTTCCATGCGGTAGGAAGCTACCGTTCCCCTGATCATGGACACGGGTGTGACTTCAATGCGGTAGGAAGCTACCGTTCCCCCTTGCAAGGTATTTCCATATCAGGCGTGACTTCCATGCGGTAGGAAGCTATCGTTCCCCTCGTTATGGACATGGGTGTGACTTCCATGCGATAGGATGCTACCGTTCCCCCGTGCAAGGTATTTCCATATCAGGCGTGACTTCCATGCGGTAGGAAGCTACCGTTTCTCTGATCATGGACACGGGCGTGACTTCCATGCGGTAGGAAGCTACCGTTCCCCTGATCATGGACACGGGTGTGACTTCAATGCGGTAGGAAGCTACCGTTCCCCCGTGCAAGGTATTTCCATATCAGGCGTGACTTCAATGCGGTAGGAAGCTACCGTTTCCCTGATCATGGACGCGGGCGTGCGTGACTTCCATGCGGTAAGATGCTACCGTTCCCCTGATCATGGAAACGGGTGTGACTTCAATGCGGTAGGAAGCTACCGTTCCCCCGTGCAAGGTATTTCCATATCAGGCGTGACTTCCATGCGGTAGGAAGCTACCGTTCCCCTGATCATGGACACGGGCGTGACTTCAATGCGGTAGGAAGCTACCGTTCCCCCGTGCGAGGTATTATATTTCCATAACAGGCGTGACTTCCATGCGGTAGGAAGCTACCGTTCCCCTCGGTATGGACATGGGTGTGACTTCCATGCGGTAGGATGCTACCGTTCCCCCATGCGATGTAATAACATAATTGAGAAATATCATGGCCATTATTATATTGTTTTGCGATCAGTATTGAGACAGCTAATTAACATAATGAATAGACAGTAGAGTTGTGCATGTCATGAGCCGGTAGAATATGGAAGGTACTCAAAAGGTTTTTCCCAAAAATAGGCTTAGCACCGACAACCCAGTTCTATCGACCGTATCTCTCGCCAAGGAAGAACAACTCGCCTGTCGTTAACGTCACCAAGTAAGTCGCTTTAAAATTATCCCGACATTGAAGCTCTTGTCAAGTTGTGTATGTACTACTCTCGTAATAAAAGCGAAAAGGTACAGGGTAGTACTTCGATCGCTTGTAAGATGGAATTGTTGTTTTTACGCTTATCGTTATATTTCTATTATCATCTCTTGATATCATCACTTACAAGTACAGAGACCTGTCCATTGAGATCAACGGATTGTGGCATATGAAACCCAGGTCGTACCTGTAGTGATAGCAACCGGACCAACGTCCACCAACTTATTGAAACATCTAGAGATAATATCAAAAAACATCAACATGCGACTGCTTGAAACAGCAGCAATATATGGTGCGGCACATATCACTAGAAAAGCTTTAGGCTGATGCTCGACGCTAGGAACGTATTACCTCCCCGGTTAGAAAAGAAAATCACAACGCCCTGCTACCATCATTCAAAGCTGCGAAATGAAGAGAAGATAATAATAATAGTAGTAATGTTAATAATCAATTTATTCCAATCCAAGCTACCTCGGAGCACAAAACATTACTTCAGATGCCTAACAGCGTACTTTCAAGATTCCAGATATTCCGATACGCTGCAGAAAGGCTTGTTTAGGCAGTAGCTAGTCAGCGTCTTTTATTTTACACCGAAGCAGCCGCGCAGAACCCGTCAATTCTGACGGATACCTTGCAACTATAGAGAAAGTCAGCCACCCATCTGCAAAGCTTCTCTGGGAGGCCATAGGATGGCATCGAATTGTAATTTACATGAACTTATTAAAAGGTTTCAATGTGTACAAATTTGAGTGATACATTATACCAGAAATGATATCTATTTTTCTGAATTTAAAAAGTAAGATTTATTGCTTGCTAACTGGGGAAATCCAATCTTAATCTCGATAATTATAAAACAGTTGATATAATAATAACAGTGTGTACGTGGTACGTGGAATAGAATAGAGCACACATTTTCGAAATATTTAACGCTGGATGTTGAATAATCCGTCGCAAGAACAAGGCATCTAGTAATTTGAAGCTAGCTATTAAAATAGATTGGATCAGATTAGATGATACTGGTAGCAGCAGGTACAAACTGGTTCAAAATTGAACTGTAGACAAACAGTATTAGTTATAAAAGCAAATGTACCGGGAAATCCTAATGTGTGAAATATGTAGTGATAGGTGATTAAAATTACTGGGATTGGGAGCGTATAAATACACTGCCGCCAACAAAATGAGATATACTTTCCCCCACCCCATACAACTCCCAGCCTCGATTTTTAACCCCTATAAATCTTTTTCTGGAAATGGCCAGGAGACTCGAAAATGCCAAAAGATTATTATTACTATTATTATTATTATTATGATAATTGAGATGAGCAGAGTACACAGTACAATAAGCTCATGCAGTAAATATAGTGTACAGACACGTAACACAAATACATCAAATAGAAAAAAATAAAAAAAAAGTTCATAGCTATAAAGTTTGTACACTCCTCTAGCTATCATACTGCACCTTGAAGCTATTAACTGAAGTAGCACCAACCACACTTTCAGGTAAACTATTCCAGGTGTTGAATATGCGGTTGGGAAAAGACCACTGTCGTTGTTTTAAATGGCTCCTTATGCAGTTTGAAGCTGTGTCCGCGTAGATTGCGCGACAGACGGTATAGATGCACGAGGTTGGTGCCCATCAAACCATGAAGTATCCTGAACGTAACTATAAGATCGCCACGAAGTCTTCGCTCAGAGAATGAGGTCAGGTTGAATTATTCAAGGCGATCTTCATAGCTTGGTCTTCGTGCTCCAAAAGGGATACGAGTAGCTCAACGCTGTACTGATTCGACGAGATTTCTATCGCGCAGAAGCACAGTGTCCCATACCGGGCCAGCGAATTCAAGAATTGGCCTCACGAATGCCTTGTAAATGTAGGCGCAAGTGTTGACATCGGATCCTTTGAAAGACCTCTCCAGCATGTATAGAAGTTTCTTGGCTTTTGATGTAACGTGGTGAATATGCTCTGACCAGGAAAGACGATCGTTGACTACAACGCCCAGATCAGTGTGACTGGAAACTGCTTCGATGTTGTGGTCAGAGATCTTGTATGTAAATCGTGGATTTGTCTTCCCGAGGTGAAGGACACAACACTTAGATAGATTTAAGGGTAAAAGCCAACTGACTGACCATTGACAAACAATATCAAGATCTCGTTGAAGCATAGCAACAAATGATCTAGCTTTCCCCCAGGAGCTCCCTGCTGACGAGACGTGTTTATGCTAGATCAGGTCATCGGTGATCTGAACTCTTGTCAGTCAATGTACAGCACTGTGTTTTGAAAGCATTAAACTTATCAGATTGTTGCGTCCCCAAGCTTTAACAATCTCGAGATCTCTCGTCAGACAAGAAGTCACTGTTAGTCTTTTTTTCCTCCAGCTCACCGGTACAGATCAGTATGTCCTGCATGTAGAGTGCTTTCATCGGCAAAGCTGTGAATCGGATTGATCGTACAGGAAAGGAGGTCGTTCATATGTAAAAGGAACAATGTCTGAGGAACAGTTTGACTGATCATATCCTTGCATTCTAGTTAAAGGTTACGCAGTTATGATGATTAAGAAGCTTCCTAATATTTTTTTTTACTAAAAAATAATATTCCGCCACAGATTTTGTTTTGAGCTTTCCAGTCAATCATGTTTATTGTGTCTTTCGACCTTTTAGATGATTCTGTAAATGCGTATTTACGAATATAGTCACACTACCAGCTTTTAAGTTCCGATCAAGTTTTGTGCAGGTCAAGAAACAACTGACGTTGCATACTTCTTATGGTCAATAAATCCTTGTACTATGTAAACAATACGAAGTACTGTGCTAGCATTATTAACATTTACCAAGAAATCAGATAAGTAGAAATATATAAATTTAAAAGTCTAAAACTAATATAAACTAAAGATCAAAGGATGTTTCCACAACAATCTATGTTTAAAAACAAATGTCTTACCTGCATAGCAGTTCAGTGTCACTAAGCACACAATAAACAAGCTGCACAGACGTTTGATATCATCCATTTTAATGTAAACTATTCTGCTAAAAATATATGGATAAAAATAAAAATGTAAAAAATGACTATATCATGACCCGTGTTGGTTATAAGATAGTCGCGTCTTGAAAACAAGCTTGTGTACGTTTACCAGCCTTGAATACTGGAAATACCAAATAACGCGGTTTCAGCTTAGAAATTATTAAGAATCGCTGGTGATTAGTTGACGATCAGGGTCGGACTGAATACTTAAATAAAAAATAAAGATTATATATGTACCTAGGTAAAATACTATGAAGATGCGGATCTAGGAAATTTTGGTGGTAGTATGAAGAAATTAAAGTTTTTTTGCTCTAAAGGAGTTCAATTCTCTTTTCAAGGCATGATGAGTAAATTGATACTAAGCTTTAATTCTAATCATGATCGTTATCAAACGGGTGGAGACTATGGAGTACTAATTGGAAGGGTCTGTTTGGCTGACTTGATCCTGCTAATTGTATTGTTATACATGTTCCTACTAGGTTTGTCTCAAAAATCAGGCACAAATATACTAAGTGACATATAAATCCGAACACCCAGTTTAAATGGTTTTATTTTAATAAAAGTTGGCGAATGTATTTATCTTACTGTACATAACAAGTGAAAAAATTTTCAGCCTTATCAGTTGGACATTCCGGTTGTTATACTGCTTTTTTTTAATTCACTAACGCTCTAAAAATGAATATTTCAGCCGCAGTAAAGAATCAACGTTGGCGGATTTTGGTTCTTGACATCCTTTACGATCGGTTACGATGCCTAGAGTACGGAGACCTGTACGATTTCGTCAACTTAGTGAGTTTGATAGGGGCCGTATAGTGGGACTTCGGGAAGCTGGACTTTCTTTTCGGGCAATTGCAGTTAGAGTGCAAAGAAGTGTAGACACTGTTTTTAGGTGTTGTCAGGCATGGCTTGGAGAAGGCCGTACGCAAAGAGCAAGGGGCACTGGACGCCGCCGTAGAACAACAGACCGTGAAGATCGCCGCCTAAGATTATTGGCCTTAAGGGACCGTTTCTCCACTACCAGGTCCATTGCAAATGAATAGTTTGCAGAACACGGAAGACCTATTGGCATGCGAAGTGTTTACCGACGAATGAGAAGTTTTGGCTTGTTTTCATACCGGCCACACTGGGTGCTCCCTTTAACTCGAGAACACCGACGTAATCGCCTTGAGTGGTGCAGACAACGGTCACTCTGGGATCAGGAATGGAACAGTATTGTCTTTAGTGACGAGTCTCGATTTTGTTTAGGCATGCACGAAGATCGTGCCAGGGTTAGAAGGCGACCTGGTGAAAGGAGGAATCCACAGTTTTTTGTTGAAAGACATGTTCATCACACTGTTGGAGTTGGGGTGCTATAGCTTATGGTTCCAGGTCACCTTTAATCTTCATCAGAGGTAACATGAACGCGCAGCGTTATATCCACGAAGTTCTAGAACCCCATCTTTTACCCTATCTTGACACCCTGGCAGATCCAACTTTCCAACAAGATAATGCCCGACCACATGTTGCAAGAGTCACAATAGACTTCTTTCAACATAATGATGTCACATTGTTACCATGGCCACCAAGATCTCCCGACTCATCCCCAATTGAGCACGTGTGGGATATGATGGGTAGGAGATTGCTCAATTTGCAACGTCCTCCCTAGACTCTAGAAGCACTTCGAGAGGAGTTGGTGGTTGCCTGGAATGAGATACCACAGGAGGACATTGACCAACTGATCAGAAGCTTGCCTAGGCGCGTTGGAGAATGCGTAGCACATCAGGGTGCATCCACACATTATTAAAGGTCAAAGGGCTTTAAAGCAGTGCAATCATTTTGAAATTTTCCTTGTGGTAGGTTATTTCTATATTATCGATATCTACGGATTCTTGTTCAAGGGAAGACAAGGAAGAGTTAAGGTGTGTTAAAGGGGGAAATTCAATCTCAGTCTCAGGTGAAATGTCAAAGCAAAACGTACTTATGAACGGGCTTTATAAGAGCTGCAATTTTTCCATATCAACGGGATATACATTTTTCGATAGGAGTAGCTGAACCAAAACTTATTTTTAGAAGAACCTATATCTCCTAAAGCAAAGCTATCCATCGTATTCCTTGTGGTTAACTGTACTTGTATTTCTTTCTGTTAGTTTCATTCTCTTTTTTCCTTATACGTATTTTGATAGATTATCTCATATTCTCGATACCTGACCTGGATTGAGAATGAGAAGCCTGGCGCTATCATCTAGCAGGCCTGGAACGCTCCAGTATCAAACCCAGTAAACATAGTGATGTCATAATCTGAGCATTTTTAGGGCACTACTGACGTACGCCGACCAACAAAAATGGCGTAGAAATGACGTCGTTATGCCGGTCTAATGTCACACCCAATTGACGGCATAGTATATCGTATTAATACAAAGTCGATATGACGTCTGAATGACGTGGATATGACGTCTGTATGACGTCGATATGTAATCATATCATATTGTAATTACTTACCACTCTTTAACTTTCTCGTTACGAGTCGTGGTTATCACCTCCGCAATTTTTCAGAAGCATTTGTACAAAGTGTATTGAAGTTGTTAATAAAGAACTGAAAATACCGTTTGATCTCTAACACTCTCCAGTCCTACGATCGTTTAGAATTTGCTTGTAACGATTTATCAAAGTTGCTTTTTCACAGGAGGCAAAAACGCTTCTTGCTTTCTGGGTGTGATCCAAACCTTATCGTCCCTACTAAATTTTACGACAATGTACCTTAAAGACGTCGAAGCCATCGTCATTTCGGTCAAACCCATAGACTCGTAAAACAAAAGGTAGTAAATAGCAATTTCTAATAAATTTGTTATTTACGGGAATATAACAATATAAAATATTATCCTTAAAAACGTCATATTAACAAGATATTTTAGGCCAAAGAACTCTTGATACTTTGTATAAATAACAGCAAAGTAGCTATTAGTATTCGGATATCTAATTTACCGTACTGTTTATTAAAAGTTTTCGTACTGACTGTCCTGAAAAAGACAGCCGTTTAAAGAACGTCTTGTCGTCATGTCGTCAATAAAGACGTCATTTTTTAGTCAATGACATTTCCGACCAAAAGTGACCGAATATTGACGTCATTTTGGCGTCTCTATGTTTAATGACAAGAGTAGAGAGGTACAAAGTCCGTTTCTATATGGGTGAACATCGAGTATGCAAATTTTAAACACACCTACTGTTAACCGATACTAAGTACAGTACTGGAGGATTTCTCTAAAATCTGTTTCTCATTATGCATAAATAGATATATAATATAACAAGAAAACGATGATTGCAGTGAATTTCTTCTATTTAATGACATCCTTGCACGTTAGCATGTAGTATATGCAAATGTTAATGCACTTCACTGTAAACTACCTTTTACTATTATGACTAGTCTCGGAAATTTTACGACCGTTATTAATCAGAAAAATATACAAAATGGAAGAAAGGATTTTATATATGACACGAGGAATAAGACGCTTCAAGCACTTGTCCATGCTGCAAGAAAAAATTGATATTTTGCAGTAACATATGAAAGTCTAATCTATAAAAAAAGAATGTGAGATGATCCCCGAATTCTAAGCTCAACTTTCGATTACAGTTCCATCTACAAGCCACAGCTCTCAATGCAGAACATCATGTAGAATTTTAAACGTTTGCTAAAGAGGTGCCATCTCCATAAATAAAAAACAACCGAATTAAAGAAATGAAACCTTTACAGTGGTACTGCCTTGGCGTAGCACCGCTGACAGTACTACAGAATGGTACCATCTATGCAAATGTAGATGGCACTGCGCTTTCGCTATCGCGCCATCTAGTGACTGTCAGCTACAGTTATGGTACATTGGTAAAGGTGCCTCTGTAGTTACGTTAGGCGGTTCCGTCTACAGGTGTCGCTAGGTGTACAAACCGCTTGGTAGGGGAAACGAATACCTCATCAATGAGCAGGTAGTACGTTGTGGGTTCGAGAATATGGGCGAGAGTGCACTACCTGCAATCGCATGTTCGTTTCCAAAGCGATACGATTTTAAAGCGAAGTATTACGTCTCTTGTTATATCTTTAACTGGTGTTCACTTGGACCGAAATCAGTTTTATTTTAGCATAATTTTACCGGTTGCATCAAAATTGAAACAAATAATAATTTTAATCTAAAGGAAAACAAAATATTAAATTAAATGTTCGAACTGACCCCTTCTTTATATAGTTTGTTTGAACAAAATTATTGTATAGCAAGGGTTAACACAAAATGCAGTTCTTCTGAGCACTGCCTGATACTTCTATAACTTTAGCATTTTACTTTCAAGGATTGCCAACCATGTTCGAGATATTCGCTTCAATTTATCCTTAAGTCCACTTCAAATCGAGGTTCAAACTTTCTACAAGCTTTTGTTGATTAAAACCTAACAGTCGCTTGCCCTTCAAATGCCCTGCGTTTTGGACAACTGGATTGACTTATTGCTTTCGTTAGCAAGTAATGTACACCAATAAACCAATACCAATTAAAACGAAACCATTTTTTATGCACCGCGAGGCATCTATCAAAGTTATATTTTCGAGCTACTGTTCCATAATGAGTTTTTTTATTGGTTAAACCAAATTACTGTTGTCGGTACACCTTGGTCTCCATATCGTTTACCTTGGTTCATTAGGCGGATAACTAGATTTATAATTGCCTTACACATATCGGAGATACGGAGACGTGTAGATCAATCTTCAGATATCGCTCCTTTCATCTGCCTGTGAACGGTTAACGTTATATCCACAATATTAATAGGATGATTCGAGAAAAATCAATAAAGCTACTGTTTTTTTTATTATAGTAGGGTGAACAACTTCACACGTAAGTTTTCATTCAAGGTTCTGGGTTGTTTAGCAAAGCTTGGGGCTATGTCAGATTCTCAATTTTTGATCTTGGACATTCTTCTATGCAACTTTTTGATCTTTGGACTATCCCAAAGAAAGTGTTATCTCAAAATTTTCGAAAATTGTCTAGCCCAAATTATCGAATTTTTGATTTCCTGCAATAAATGTCTTTCGGCCGACCTCGCAGTTTTTTTTTATTACTTTCTCTATGTAAGTAGGATGTTTCCTCGCTACCTGATATCCACGTCTTAAACGGTATATTGATGACCGATCAACATTATAAATCAAAGCTACGTCATTCACTAAACGACTATCTCCCAATAATATTATGCAAAACTTTTTTTGAGAAAATAAAATTATATATATATATATATATATATATATAAATACAGGATGTTTAAATTTACTTTCTAAAATAGTTTTTTTTAAATATTTCGAACAATATTTGATGTATAACAGTGAAAATTGGTATACAAGGGTTTTTTGGTACGACAAAACGAACCATGGGCATAGTTTTACTGTAGCCGCTAGATGGCGCTCTCTACTGTACCTGTAGTGTATTAAAATGACCGAAAATTTTTTCTTAGTGCAATTTTTTGCTTTTTGGATAAAAAAACTGATTCTTCGCACTTTTCAACATAAAAAAGCTCTCCTGTCAGTTTTCGTTATAGTTAGCCGTTTTTGAGATATTTCGATTTTTAAGGTTCGATGCATTTATAATTATTTATGATAAAATAACGTTAAAAAGTCAGTATCTCGATAATTTTTAGAAGTAGGCTGAGCCTGCAAATATTTTTGAAATTGAAAGTAGAATAAGGTTAAACGTCAATTAGTTTTGTTGTCTGTTGAAACCTGAAACGTTTTTTGCAATTGTGAATGCACGAAATTTAGTTTCTTTTACCTGTTTTCTTTTTTTTAAGTTTTATAAAAATGCCATTTTTATTCTCCAATCAAGAGTTAGCGGATATTCATTTTGTGTAAGGCTTTGTAAATGGAAACGCAGCAGAAGCAGCCAGAGAATACGCACGAATATTTCCAAACAGACGACATCCAAATCGCTCAGTATTTGTAAGAGTGCATCGCCAAATAATTGGAAATGGTTTTGGAAATCTCCAAAGGGAACAAAACATAAATGTTCGTCAGCGCAGATTTACCCGTATGATTCTGCGTGAGTTTGATAGAGATCCGACCACAAGTGTTAGGAGAGTTTCTGGTGCCTTGGGAATTTCAGCAAGTCATGTTCACCGTGTTCTTAGAAATGACCATAGAACGTCCTTTTGCAACCTGTGCAAGGACTACAGCCAGGGGACGGAGAATGAAGAATCACATTTGTCAGCGGATTCTTGTTAGAACTGATAATAATAGGGAGTTTTTAAGTAACGTTTTATGGACCGATGAGTCATGCTTCACTAGACGTGGAGTGGTAAATTGTCATAATCAACATATTTGGTCGCATGAAAATCCGCATGCAGTTCGGGAAAGAAATTTTCTGCATGAATTTAGTGTGAACGTGTGGATTGGTATCTACCGTAATCGACTATTTGGACCCTACCTTTTGCCTGCAAGGTTAAATACTGCGACCTTCTTGGAATTTTTAAAGGCTGAACATGCAAATATGTGGGATGATGTTATGTTAGATTTAAGAAGATTGGCCTGGTTCCAGCTTGATGGTTGTCCAGCTCATTATTCGAGAATAGTTAGAAACTGGCTGGAAGAAAATTATCCAGAAAGATGGATCGGCCGTGGAGGACCAGTCGCCTGGCCTCCACGATCCCCTGACCTAAATCCATTAGATTTCCTTGTGTGGGGATTTCTCAAAGAAAACGTGTACCAGACTCCCGTAACCACAAGAGATTTTCTAATAGACAGAATCAGGAATGCATGTGATGAAATAAGGCCTTATTTGAATAATGCTATACCACGTTCGATCATTCGTAGATGTGAATTGTGTATTGAACAATTGGGTTTACATTTCGAGCAACTACTTTAGATTTTGTATGTTTGTCCTAACTATCCAATAGCATTTTAGTTGCAAATAATTAATTTAAATTGTTAAAAATTATATTGGAAGATTAAACAAATTAATATTCTGTTTTTTTGTGTTTATTTGGAGTTAGGAATTATTGCTTTGTTTAAAAACACAATCTAAACCATCATCTTAATTACTTGTAATGCCCAAATCGAAAATGTAAAAAAAATATTATTTTACCATAAATAATTAAAAATGCATTGAACCTTAAAAATCGAAATATCTCAAAAACGGCTAACTATAACGAAAACTCACAGGAGAGCTTTTTTATGTTGAAAAGTGCGAAGAATCAGTTTTTTTATTCAAAAAGCAAAAAATTGCACTAAGAAAAATTTAGTTAGTTTCTACAGTAAAACCATGCCCATGGTTCGTTTTGTCGTATCAAAAAACCCTTGTATACCAATCTTCACTGTTATACATCAAATATTGTTCGGAATATTTAAAAAAAAACTATTTTATAAAGTAAATTTAAACCCTGTATTTCGGAAGCCACGCATTTTTGGACCCATGTTTATTTAGACTTTATGCATTAATTTTAAAAGTTCTATCGAATCTTAAAGTTATGCAACAATAAACTGAAACACGCTATATATATATATATATATATATATATATATATATATATATATTCAAAATTAAAATTTCACATCAATAATTTTCTGACCTTAATATTATAATAATATAATTTTTCAATATTAAATCGTCGTTTTTCCCGTCGCAAAACAAAATTATGTATTATACTCGGGAAAAATACTAGATTTTAGCTAGTAATTTTTCCCTTGTATAATACGAAACTATTAATTTGAGACCGGACGCAAAGTTGACGCAAATTCCACCAGCCAAAAAGAAGGGTTTGTGGTGTATGGTGAATTTGCCAGTAACCTGGACACTACCAGTAGTCAGACAAATTAATGTTATATTATTGGTAAACACTTGAATATTTGCAATCCTATACTTGCTGGCAATTGGTACCAGATTTATAAACTCAGAAATTCACAATTTACGAAACAAATTAATCTTTATATGTTATTTAAGCATTTTGAGGTCAAATCGTCAAAATCCAATAATTGGACACTTGTCATAGTATGATCGTTATCAATCTATCTTTGTCTTTGTGGATTATGGCCAGAGATATTTTGTCCGACTACTGGGATGAGCATAGCATCCCAATAACCATTTTGACGCGATTGGCTCGTCCTCGATTTTTCACTTTTCGTTTCCTTGCTTGGTTACTATTTCGTGCAGCCCGCAGAAAATGAGATGATAGTAGTACGGTGCAGATGTTTGTTCTCTTTCTTAGATATTCAACTTTTCCAATCAAGGTTTATGGCGGTGAATTGAGATCAACGAGTTTTTACAAGGTGCCTCACACTCGCTGATACGTTATGCATAACACCCATGGAAACATACGTGCAAACATACTTTCAGGCGTATCAAACTTTCGTCAAAATGAAATGTCACTAAGAAACTAAAACTTGCGGTTACCGCGGCCGATCCAACGATTTGTATAAACAGTTTGTAAATAATTACGAATCGCTACACTGAAAAGCGCTGGTGCACCGTCATGCATGTACCACATATTGTTTCTTATTACTAACGCAACATCATCAAGCAGCAAAGGCAAATATTTAAGTGTCTAGCGATCTTCCTAGTACTTAGAAGTCTACCTTCAGATGTTCGTTTTCGGACAGAACCAGTTTCAACAAGACGACGATGAATATTGAAGGAAAGCAACTCAAGAGAGATCATTTGTTTTAAATTGAACGGGCAATTCAAAAATAATTTTTATTTGACAAAAAACCATTGGCGTACCATTTTTTTCTCAAAAAATATCGAAGCAAATACCCGTACGCACGCTACTTTTAAAGCTAAAAATTATTTTTGCATTGAAAAATATGCAACTTTATTAACCTTCACTACGTACCAAATATCGGTGAAATATCTGAAGCGGTTCTGAAGATATTAATTAATTTCCATTTTTTCCTTAAAACTTCAACTTTGTAAGGAAACATTTTTGGACCATAGTTTATAAAGCAAACAAACATTAATTTTTCATGTAGATTCACACCCTTAAATAATCGCATATCATTAAGGAACACTCTGTATATACAAGGTAGTATCATATGCAAAGTTATTCCATCTGAATCACCAAAATACTTGCATTTCAATTTTGTATCTCTTTATAAGATACTTTAGTTTAGAGCGTTCTTATTTGTACCTTTTTTTCAATGAATCAAGATGTTAAACTATCCCACTTCTGATCACGCGACTGCCACATTTCGCAACCACAAGAGCTTGGAGGCAATTAACAACATTTCGGAGAATATGTAAGCGTAATGCACCTTGTAAGAACCCGTTGATCTCAATTCACCATCGTAAACCGCACAGAGCGCAAAACCTTGAGAGGCTGAGCGCGAATCACAAGTAACCGTCACTGGTCGCGGTACCACAGTGGTGCTTCGGTGCCCCCGATGGGGCGAACCAAGTGAAGGGAGAAGTACCCGTTGCCCGGCCCCCTTGATGTTGCGGTACGGCCAGTCGGTGCGCGAATAACAGTTGACGAACGGGCCCCCGGCCAGCGACGATTTTCAGTTGTTTTTCTCGACGACGTGCGCGTGTCGCGCAAGCGCGACGTACAGCCCCTGACAGGGAAAGCATGACATAGATTCTTCGGTAGTGACCCAGTGACTCGGATGGGCTTACTGTGCTCAAGGTGGTTGCTGTACAGATGCAGTTGCTCATTTTTCCCGATTGGCAAAGTGGCCCAGAAATAAGACGGCACAAAGTGTCATTTATACGTATTACCAGTATAGTTATAATTAAATTTATTCTCAAATTTGCCGAATCAGTAAGCAATCTGTTGTTTTAAATTTTTTATACAGGTTGTTTTCAAAGTTGAATCATTTTTTTTTAACAGCTTGTAGAACTCGTCAAAGGAAGTTGATATACCAACAGTCACTTATACACTAAGTGACATATAAATCCGAACACCCAGTTTAAATGGTTTTATTTTAATAAAAGTTGGTGAATGTATTTATCTTACTGTAAATAACGAGTGAAAAAATTTTTATCCTTATCAGTTGGACATTCCAGTTTTTATACTGCTTTTTTTTAATTCACCAGCGCCCTAAAAATGAATATTTCAGCCGCAGTAAAGAATCAACGTTGGCGGATTTTGGTTCTTGACATCCTTTACGATCGGTTACGATGCCTACAGTATATTCAGATAAGAGATAGACCGGACATAAACAAGACCACGTGATCATCGAACGCTGTAACATTCGGCAGGGACGTATTAAGAGTCACGCAGTACATATTTTAGATAGTAGATGCTGCTTTGCGTAACTTTGTAGTAAATTAGCACAATTCGATGTGTATACGATTGGTGATGGATATAGGATCATGTGGGGCTGGGGTAAGAAATATATAGTGATGTAAATATACACAAGAGTTTCAAAATTTTCGCTTCGATTTCCAGCTTCGGATGCCGCCTGATGTTTGGTGAAATACAGTCGAATATAATCTCAGAATGGCGTTTAAATTAGCCTAAATTAAAAATAATCGTATATCTCTTAAAATTGCTTTTAGAATATTGATTAGTATATTTTTTGATTTCTAGGTAAATATGTAACCAAATTAAAACATTCAAAACGTAAAAAAATGTGCATGGTTGAACATTGTCAGAAAGTAGATTCTTGAATAGGTTTTGCCAAAATGGGTTCAAAAATGTCAATAATTAATTAAAAAATACAGTAGCTTTATAATTACTTATAACTTACCGAATTTGATGAACGACATCTTTTATTGGAAAGATGAGCTTGATGAGCTTTCATCATCGCTACTGCCTGAAGCACCAACGTCAATAATGAATGGCTCGACTTGTTCCTCTAAAATATTGTCCAGTTCCCACATTCTCTTTTCAACTTTGTCTTTCACGTGCTTAATACAGTTTTCCCGTTTTTGCGCTGTTATTAAGTCTAGTGCTTCTTTGAAAAGTCCTTTGAGGTCACAAAATTTAAAAGTTGTATTGTGCTTAGCTATATAATTCTTAACCTCTGCCCATATGAGCTCAATGGGATTGAGCTCGCAATGGTATGGAGGTAAACGGAGCACAGTTTTATTTTGACTTGCTGCCATTTCGTCAATGGCGTATTTTTGATATTCCGCCTTGTGATTCTTAATAATTGTACTTTCAGCATTGCTTCTTCAAAGTTGATAGTTTTCGAGCGGAGCCAATTTTGAACATCAACTTTCCTTGAAGCCGTTGTTGGGACCTTCTCCATTCTTCGAGAATGATAAGGCGCATTATCCAACACAATTACTGCGTTTTCCTCTAAGTTCGGTAAATTTTTGAAAACCACTGTTCAAACGATTCGCCATTCATTTCCTCGTGGTAATCTCCAGTTTTCTTAGACTCAAAGCACCACAGACCGTCAACAACAAATCCATCCTCACTGCCAATATGGCAGATAATGAGCCTTTTCCCTTTACCTGGAAATCGAAGTACTAACTGGTGTAGATTTATTTCAATAAGCGAACCTTTTTCAAATGTTTTCATCACATTCAGCGAAAAAACATTGAGACATGAGTATCAGATTGCTATAATTGGGATTATTTAGTCATATTGAAAGAAAGAATATTGAACGTCGTATGATTACTCAGCGCTTCACAATTTAATTTAAAGTTATAAACCTTTAAAAAATGAATGATCAAGAACCTGAAATACGCGCAAAAAAACTTTATAAAGCTTAAAGTATGAATTAAAATGATTAGAAATATTAGGAACGGTACACAATATATAACTTAGTCACTTTTTTTAAGTTTATAATATTCGACATATTTTAAGATTATATTAAAAAATTATTGAAATATCGAAAACACATAAAAACATGGCTTAAAAAAGTTCTAACAAATGAAAATGACAATAAAACATCCACGCATTTTATCGAAAGTTATAAAAGTTTTGTTACTTGTAATATGTTTTATCTGCCCCCTGGAATTAATGTTTAGAACCTTGTGTGTCCTGCGTTTACCCACGTTTCATCAAGGTAATAAATCTTCCTGTTTTGATTTCTATATTTCCCAATTTTTGTTAAATAATCCCTCCTCCATAGCACAATTTCTTCTCTATCCAGTAGTAAACTATTACGACCCCGTTTTTTCCATTTGAAATTTAAATGCTTCAGTAACGCATGGAAAGTTGATCGTTTGAAATTTGGCAACGTTGTATCTCCATTTACCTCCTGCAGTACTTTATCTATAGTAGGTATTTCATTCCTAAAGAAGAATTCATGCACTTTCCTCCTAATCGCATGCTTATCAGCTTGTGTGATTTTTTTTGTATTGTCTTAACACATTAAACACTGATGCGCGACACACCCCAACTTTGTGAGAAACCTTCACAACAATTTCTTTGATGGTTGATGCCTCGTTTTCCTCGCGCTCGATCTTATATATATTCAAAATGACCTCTTTCATTTCTGCACTCAGGTGTCTTTTTTTAGAGCGTTTCCTAGGTGGACTACAGGAGTTTACAACTTCATCGGCAGTATCTGTACTACTGGGCATTTTGCGCAAGCAGTTGATAACAATAACAATCAATAACAAGGTATAACAATAACAACGACAAACTCAACAACTTAATAAGATAACAAACGAAAACGTCCAAAGAAATATCAAATTGCAATGATGCACACGACATACGTAACACGTCTGAACCTGAATGTGACTCTGCCTTGATACGACTGCTCTGCCGCTCGGCATAGGCATTTAATTGCGAATTGACCAATGAGGGCTCCTGTTTTACGTCGAGACGGCGGCGTTAGCGTGAAAATCACCCGAACCTTTTGTTTACATCCGGTCTATCTCTTATCTGAATATACTGTAGAGTACGGAGACCTGTACGATTTCGTCAACTTAGTGAGTTTGATAGGGGCCGTATAGCGGGACTTCGGGAAGCTGGACTTTCTTTTCGGGCAGTTGCAGTTGGAGTGCAAAGAAGTGTAGACACTGTGGTTAGGTGTTGTCAGGCATGGCTTCGAGAAGGCCGTACGCAAAGAGCAAGGGACACTGTTTTCATACCGGCCACACTGGGTCCTCCCTTTAACTCGAGAACACCGACGTAATCGCCTTGAGTGGTGCAGACAACGGTCACTCTGGGATCAGGAATGGAACAGTATTGTCTTTACTGACGAGTCTCGATTTTGTTTAGGCATGCACGATGGTCGTGCCAGGGTTAGAAGGCGACGTGGTGAAAGGAGGAATCCACAGTTTTTTGTTGAAAGACATGTCCATCACACTGTTGGAGTTATGGGTTGGGGTGCTATAGCTTATGGTTCCAGGTCACCTTTAATCTTCATCAGAGGTAACATGAACGTGCAGCGTTATATCCACGAAGTTCTAGAACCCCATATTTTACCCTATCTTGACACCCTGGTAGATCCAACTTTCCAACAAGATAATGCCCGACCACATGTTGCAAGAGTCACAATAGACTTCTTTCAACATAATGATGTCACATTGTTACCATGGCCACCACGAGATTGCTCAATTTGCAAGGTCCTCCTCAGACTCTAGAAGCACTTCGAGAGGAGTTGGTGGTTGTCTGGAATGAGATACCAAAGGAGGACATTGACCACCTGATCAGAAGCATGCCTAGGCGCGTTGGAGAATGCGTAGCACATCAGGGTGCATCCACACATTATTAAAGGTCAAAGGGCTTTAAAGCAGTGCAATCATTTTGAAATTTTTATCATTTACTTATTATGCTTCATTAAGTACTTATACAAAATTTTATTAAAATAAAACCATTTAAACTGGGTGTTCGGATTTATATGTCACTTAGTATAGTATCTCATGATTAATCATGTCAAATGCTTTCGTGTAGTCCAATAACACCGAGACAGTAGCATTTCCCGCATCCTGTTCTCTGACGACATCATCCACAAGATCTGTTAATGCTGTGGAACAACTGTACCCGGTTCTAAACCGTGAATGTCTAGGGGGGATGATGTTGTTGGCAAAAACGTAGTTAGCAACTTGAATAGCGATTGCCCTTTCCACAAGTTTCGAGAAGGTCGGTAAAAGCGAGATTGAAAATAGTGACCAAATTCTGTCGGATTGTTAATCTTAGTCAATGGATCATCACGCCAGCCTAAATATTTAATGAAAATCTACGATGAAAATGAATTATTTTTAGAGCATGCGGATATTCTACAGCATGATTGTTGTGGAAATTGTGCACTCCATTCCGTGTAAATGTAAAATGTAAAATTAATGTCGAACTGTTCTAAAAGCTACTGCCAAAATGCAACTCTTCTAGGATGATTTTCAGTTTGTAACACTTATACTCGTTGATAATGATAAGGATGATACTGTTCGTGTCGTATTGTGTTCCACTTTGTACTATGAGAAACTTCAACTTGAGCTGCTCGGCTTGTCGGGTCGTCTTCGACCATTTCTAAAATGTTGTTCGTTGTTCTTTTAAATATCCTGTGTCACGAAGTCTAATAACGAAATTTACAAACATGGAATGGAAATCTTTCCGCATCCAACATGCATGCTGCGGCTGCATTTTGTTGGCACTCTCAGTATGTTAGTATCATATCCACTAGTTCATTGTTTTCGTAAATTTGACCATTTTTTCGTACAAAATAATCAGACAAATGAAAGTATACGTACTATTAGAAGGCTCATACAGCTGATCGAACTGCA